ATAATATCACCTACATCTTCACTATCAATCTGCCCCTCTGAGTCAAACAATGATTCTGGGAACTGCCCCTCAAAAAGTGATGCATCTATGCGTGAAAATAATTCTCTTACTTTCAGCTTGTAATGAAAAATCCCAGATTTTGCACGTTGAAGCTCCTTCTCAGGCTTTATTTTTTCTAAGCTGAAAAGGAAAAAGAGGAAACTCAAATGGCTGATCTATAAATAGATTGAAAAACTTGAAATGAAAAACATTTAATCTTTTGCCTTGTCACAAGATGGATTGGGAGAATACAAACCTTTGACCTTTCCATCCTTCGCCGGAGTAAGCATCAATTAAGCTTTGTTCATATTGTATTCGCCTGACTAAATATTTTAGATGGGATTTTATCCCCAATAATTCATTTGCAGCAATCCGTTTCCTTTGCTTTCTTTTCCTCCTTTTTCTTTTCTTTTCTTTGTTGGAATTATCAGCTGCTGAAACATTTGTTGTTTCTGGAGATTCAGTCTTTTCTTGTGTTCTTGAGCGCAATACTCTAGTACTGGTTACTAGTGATCTCAAAGAAGATATCTTTTTCCGTGATTGCCCAGAATGGCTTTCATCTCCACATTCTAACTGACTAGGATTTACATTTGAATCTCTATACATTTCTCTTAATTCTTGACCTGTACTTTCAGATGCAACACCCAGTACTCCCACCGAATTAGCTATAGGAATCGCTTCCCCTCTTTCATCTAGAACTTCAAAATTATTAAAGCTGGAGTTCACTCCCAAGCCTTCCAGTCTGGATCCACTTTGCTCCCGGCTAGAGTTGACAGAAGCATCTCCACAGAGAAGCAAATCCTTTTTACAGACAGATTCTACCACCATTATTTCATCTATGTTTCCATTAATTTTACTTCTATGATCCAATGGATGGCTAGGATTTTCAACTGTAGACTTTGGAGTTTCTTGTATCTGTTCTAAAACGAGATCTTCAAACACATCTCTTGGTGATTCTGCTGAATGATCTATCTGAGAAGTGGTGTCCTTGTTTTCAGATGGTAATGCCACTATACTGTTGGAATTCAACCCGCAATTTTCAAACGGCAGATCCTTTAGCTCTATGATAGAATCTGTAAAGATATGCCCAGTGGGTGACACTCTTTGACATTGTGAAGAAGACTCAATTGTATCAGTAATTCCCACACGGTCCTGACTCTGGGCATTTTGATACCCATCTCTTAATTCTTGGCCTGAACTTTCAGATGCATCACCGAACACTCCTGCTGAATGGTTAGCTATAAGAATCGCTTCCATTCTCTCATCTAGAACTTCAATGTTATTGAAGCTGGAGTTCACTCCCAAGTCTGCCAATCTGGATCCACTTTGTTCCCGTCTAGAGTTGACAGAAGCATCTCCATGGATAAGCAAATCCTCTCTACAGAGAGATTCTACAACCATTTTTTCATCTATGTTTTCATCAATTTCACTTCTATACTCCAAAGGATGGCTAAAATTTTCAACTGTAGACTTTGGAGTTTCTTTTATCTGTTCGAAAACAAGATCCTCAAACACGTCTCTCTTCAGGGCCGGTCCTAAGAATTTAATGGCCTGGGCGAGATGGAAAAAAATAGTCCTTAAGGCTTTTTATGGATGTTGTAAAAATGTATTTTAGAAAATTTCCACTTATTTTCAACTCTTCTTAACAATTATAAAAAGTCAACTTGAGAAGAATTATGGTGTACAGAGAGTATATATTATTTTCTTTTAAAAAAAATTCATTTACCGTTTTCAATAATTAACACCTAAAATGTCAAATTTCACATTCAAAGATGTTCAGATCTATATTTAGATATATTCAACCATATCATGAGTTTGCCTATATATGAATTAGGTGACGGCTCGAACGGGTATGGACGAAGCATCTATGGTCAGTACGGAGTATGGACCATATTCTCAGACCTTTTATTGTTTCCAATTTGATAGTGTATAATAAAATGGACTTAGCATGTCTGCAAGAAATCTCACACTAAAGAAAAAATGGCTATGGGGACCTTCACAGGTTTTGCATCTATAAAGATTCAGGCTAGAAGAGGAATTCATTATTGAATTCCATCTCCACAAATAAGCAAATAGTTTTGGAACCTATATGGCATGTTAATTTAACTATGCAGATATACTTCTCTTCATTCTTTTAAAGAGCATAGAAATGATTGAGTAATGTCCATGCTCCATAGTTTTGAAATATTGAAATGTGTGATACATGTTCAATCATTCTTTGGCTTTGAATCTTATCCCAGCTTTTAAGCTCCCACTTTTTCCAGATGATATTGTGCCAATGTGAGAGATCACTAGATTAATCAGTGCAGATTTTTGTATATATTTAATTAATTTTCTTCCCATGGGTTAGTATGCCGAGGAGCAGCCTTTGCACATTGGTGATGGTGAGGTTAGGCTACTGTGTTGCCATTCTTTTCGTCAACAGTTAAAAAACACTAGAATAATGATATTATTAGAATCTTTATTATTGTAATTGTTCAAAAATTACACTTCTTTTGTAGTTTTGTTTTTAAATTTGAATATGCAATTTGATTCGCTTTTTATTCCATATTTGAAATCAATTTTTGAATATATTTCTTTTTTAGAATATTTTTTACTCTGTTTTTTTCCTTTTAAGTTGTTAGATTTGCAATAATAAACTCACTTTATTTAGAAATGGAAACTAAATCTTTTTTAAAAAAGGTTTTTATCCCTTTTTTCTTTTCCTTTTTTTAAATTAAAATATTTGGGTTTATCAATTGAACATCCCTCTGCCATTTTCTACCATTAGTTCTTTTGCCTATTCTATCCCACCAAATTCCTATGGGTATTCTTTGGTCGCATCATTCAACCTATTTCATGTTATAATGTGTTTGAAGTATTGCAGGTAGACAAAGAGTCGAGCTGCTAATAGATAGGCAATGTGATTGAGTTCAATTTTCTTGAATAACGATATTGTTTGCAATGTGAGTATGAGACTATACAAAATTACTCTATTAGTCGTACAAAATTCATTTTCTTTTTCTATTTTTTAAAATTGAGAAAAACTTTCTCTTAATTGAACACATAAAAAGCATTCAAAATAAGAATCCAAAGATGAAAGACCAATTAAAAATATGCCATTTTCATCCATTATTAGTTGGAAACAACAATAAATCAATCTATTGAAGATTTAAAACATTAAGCATTTAAAATTTCAACTATATCAAAGTATAGATACCTATAGAAGTTGGATTGGCAGTTAGGTTGACGGCGGAGTTAGTGGCGGCAAGCCGTAGCCGCGATGGTGCGCAGACTCTGGCAGAGTTAGCGGCGGCAAGGCGTAGCCGCGACGGAGCGCAGATCCAGGTTCGACTATGCTGAATAAGGAAGCTTTGCACGGAGTATTTTCTGATCTTAGGTCTTAGATCTCTATGCTAACGACGTTTTTAGTTTTTAGTCCCAGAGATTAAAATAGTTTGATTTTTTTAATCAAATTGCAGTATACTTTGATAATAAATTAAATATAGTTTATACATATTTAAATAATATAATAAATTGATATTTTAAAATTATATCTTAAAATATAATTAATTTTACTAAATTTATATTATAAATAAATACTCCGTATATTCTTTTATAATTCGGGGTCAAATTCAAAAAGGTTATCACAATTTGAATTTTTGATAAAATTGTGTAATATTTTTTTTAAAAAAATATAATTTTAAATAATTAAATGCTACAAAAGTTTAATATGCTAAAAGGGGAAAAAGTTATTAATAAAAAAATAATGGGAAAAGCCTATAAAAAGTACGTAAGTGCTTAATTCACAATTTATATTAATTATTTATGGAAAAAGCATATAAAAAGTACGTAAATGCTTAATATATTAGTGCTAAAAAGTAATATGCTAAAAGGTGGATGCTGGTTCCGACGGGGAACACCCCCCCCGACAATAATCAATTAACAAAAAAATCAAAAAAATCTATACGTAGAAATGTCGAGTGACGCTGGAACCAGTACAAAATAGTCTCTTTGTTAGTGTTTCTGAATTAGAATTGGTTCTCTTTGCCACATCCGATTTAATTGTAATTATATAAAAAACTATTTATGATCTGATTAAATTCTACTAGAAATGACTAAGTAAGAAGAAATTAAAAAGAACAAACTCAATTATCTAGAAATAGAGGCTTGCAGTGCGGAAATTACGTATAAAATACCAGGATTCAACACCCTCATGACCTCATCCCAACTTAAATTTATCACTTCTCATTTAAGAGTGAGAACTTGTTTAGTGAGTCGAACCAAAATGAATTTTCATACCTCCCATATAGAATTCCCAATTTTTTAGTGTTGGGTAAAAATTACAACTTTCAAATATGAGAAAATTTATAATTAATCGGATCTTCGTATCAGACTCACAGTGTTAAAAGCCCAAAGTAAATAGAAATGCATTGGGCCCATGATTCGTCTTAATTCGTGCATGACATGTTTAAAATTTAAAAACATAACGCCCACCGTGGGGCTCGAACCCACGACCACAAGGTTAAGAGCCTTGCGCTCTACCAACTGAGCTAGACGGGCTGTGCTCCACTCGTTTCGATATTGCATTATATACTTAATTATATTAACTTGTTCTCATTTTGAATATCCCCTTTGTGTCCAGGAGTAAAACCCTCGCTATTAAATGGTCTTAAAACTATGCTTGGTTCGCGGAACTTGATAGGGAAAGGGAAAAAATGAATAAAAAAAAATCTTTCTTGTTTGATTAGAGAGGAAAAAAAGAAAAATGAAAGGACAGAAAAATAAAAAAATAAAATGTACTAAGAGAAAGGAAAACCAAATTGGAAGAGAAGCACGTCACGGACAACACTTGTCAGGGACATCCTCTTGCTCGATCCCCCTCTTCATTCTTGTGAGGGACAACACTTTAAATTGGAAGAGGGGCACGTCAACCCATGGTTGTGCACTTATTCTTGGAAAACTAAAAGACTGAGCTAAATGAATGTTTTTCTGTGTTTATAAGCTAGTCAAAACTATTTTTGCTTTTAAGCTGGAAAAAATAAGTATGTTTTATCTACTTATTTGTAAGTAAAATCTCTCTAGATAAGAGTAAAAAGTATGAAAATAACAAAATATGAGTTTTAAATCTTTTAAGACCAAAATAAGAGCATAATGACAGTGTGATATAATCGTACGCGTTGATAGTGTGGAGGAAAAATGATGACTGTGTGAGGTCATTGTGATCAGTCAATTGTTGGTGATCTGCGGTGGCACTCTAGTGGCCGGCAATGACAGATGACAGTGTGGCGATGATAATGTGGTAGTTACAAATTTACAATGACACAAGGTAGTTAATATGGTAGTATAACGATGATTAAGCCTGGACACGGTATGATTCTGCTTCGATTTTGGTTCTAGAACTGGCAATTTTGGCACCTGTGACTAGAGGCACCGTAACTAGCGTTGGAGGAGGCGGTTCCAGAGCCGGCGGTTCCAGAGCCGGCGGCTCCGGCTTCGGTTCCAGGCCAATTAACGGTTATTTTTTTAATCTAATATTCTAATATATAAATCTAGTATTCTAATATATGAATAATATGTAATGTAAAAGAAATTTATAAGTTTTATAAATTATTATAATATAGTTGTTGTTTAAATGAAGATTGTTGAAAATATTACAACTATACTGTTATTCTGACAGTTCAAAAAAAAGTGATGAGGTAAAAAACCGTAAACAAACACTCGAAAGAACTTATAAAATGCTCACCTAAAAAAACTAATTACATTTTATAAAAGATACAAATTTAACCTCAGAACAATCATTACCTCTGTGGTTGCATCCATGTAATTTTGGGTATCAATATCGTAGCCCGCCTCTTGTGCTCAACGCCTTGCCAAGAGCCAATCTCGATTGCAAACAAATATCTTAAGTGATTCAGTGCTAAGACCACTTCGGTAGTCGGTTAGAATATTTGTCGTTAGTATTGAATTCTTGTTCCAAAGCTACGGTTGAAACTAGCATTGGTAACACTTGTCTAGCTAGCATTCTGAGTGACGGGAATATGTGTTCATTCTGCTTCCACCATTACTCGGTATCGTTGTCTTCATCGTAGTCGCTTGGAACGCCATGGTACATTGCAAGTTTGTGGTGCGAACTTACACTTGTACCACTTGTACTCTCGACGAAGCGCTATGCTTACCTTTTTTTGCCAAGAGGCCACTGACGATCCCTTTAAAATCTTTTTTTGTCTTTGAGACAGGAAGAGCTATTGTTTTTTGAGTTCCTTCTGGTAGAGTACCGTATGTAACTTGAAATTCTTTAAATAGGACTCAAAAAGATCAATAACATTATTACTTTCTTTCATCCATTCTACTAATTAGTCATAAAAATAATTATTTTCATTTAAAAAGCAACTAATAATGCGCAATAAGATTTTTAAAATTTTCAATCTTAAAGTGCGAATCACAAATAATGCCAAATTTATAAATATCACGAATATATAAATAATAAGCACATTATTTATCTTTCATAGAATATACACAAATGTACAAATGTGGATCAAATAAACCTTTACGAAAACATGTAGCAATTATAATACACTACAAAAATCTATTGGTCGTAAGTTTATAAACATGCGAGAAAGTAAGAGTGACATTATTAAAAACCTTTAACACATTCTTCAATTTTCGAACAAGATTATATTCATTATAATCGATAAAATAATTAAGTTCATACTTGAAAATGATAAACGTTCTTCTTTATACCGCATGATCTGGTCAATCAACTTATATGTACTATTCCTTCTATTTGTAATACCTTTAGCAAATGTTATTAATTTTTTATCTGTAGTGAAGACGACTATCTCAAATTAATTTTAAGTAATCAAAACTAGTTTTAACTTGAAGGTACAATTGAAGAGGTAGAAGGTGTGTTCAGGTCAGCGCAGGCAGGGACTTACCGAAGGATTAGGAACCATAAATTTTACGAACGAACACCGTACCGTAGCAGCCCCGAATCTTCTCATGACGTGAGATTTCAATGTCACGAGAACAGTCATAAAAATGGCCAATATGATTGAAGTGCATATGAAGCTAAACATGGTCTATATAATTGAGCAGTAAAATTGAATTCCAAACCGAAACAAGAAAAATAAATAAAAATTAAAAGTTGAGAATGAACAGAATAGTAATATCTAATGTATAATCCTTATCTTCCTCTTTGCAATGCCTGCTCTGCACTCTGCACCTCCTCCAAGATCCTCTGCTTCCTCTTGGCCGGAATCGGGGTCGTCGGCCCAAAGCTCACGTAATGCCCGGATATGGCGTTGAGCGCCGAGTAGACATCCCGGAAAGATGGCCGTCCGAGCAGCCCCTTCTCCCTCCGGTACTTGGCCACCCACGAATTCGACGCCTCCCTTAGATCGGCCACCGCATCCACTATATCCGGGTCCCCCTTCTCCTTCTCCACCGTCGACTTCACCTTCCCGATCACCTCCGTCGTCTCCTTCACGTATTCCTCGTCGGAGGCTGCCCGGGCGACGGCGGCGGAGAGGACGATGCTGTGGCTGCAGAGTATTCCGGAGGAAAGAGAGATGAACTCCCGGCGGCTGGTGGGGTTGGCGGCGTTTCGCGTGGAGGCGGAGATGAACTGGGATCTGACTGGGGTTATCAGTGGTTTAGCGGCGGCGGCGGCGGCGGTCGGAGTTATTTGGGCTGGAGAAGCCATGGTGAGGTTGGGCTCTTCGTACGTTGTCTGAGAAAGGAATGAGGGGTTTAAGGAGAAGGTCAAGAAGATATGGAGGGAATCTTGCCACGTAGGATCATCATCTTATCCCATCCACGGTTTTTAGATTTGTTGGGGGTATATGAAGGGATGAGGGTCTTCTTTTCATCTTATTTTCGTTGGTTAGAATGAAATGTTTGGAGCATGATACATATATCTCAAAATTTGTACCATATTTGTATATTTAAGATATCCATCAACATTTTGATAGTATACACTGACACAAAGTATTGGTGCGTTAACAAAAATTTACACTGACACAAAGTTTTGCTGCGTTAACAAAAATTATCATTACACCAACTTAAAATGTTGGTGCATCCATGCAATTACAAAATGAGATTCAAATTCTTGGGGTACAAATAGCTTTATCCGAAATGTTTGGTAGAAAGTAGAAACTGATGTTTTTTTATATAATAATGCTAGGATTACACCAAAAAGCCTACCTTAAAGTGCATGCTTAAGGCATGTACAAATATTTTGATATTTTATATTGATTCAAAATGTTAGTGCGATCAAACAATTTGTATTATATATTTGCATGTGTAAACCATGATTTAACATCACACTAACACACAATGAAAGTGCACATAATCTCCATATTTTTTATACTATATTATCTTTCTAATTTACATCAATATCATATTAGATTTCACTAATTTTTATACTTTTTATGCTACAAATGACAGTGTACATATGCCAATTTGCCAGCATACTACAATCATCTTTGAATGATTAACTTAAACTAAGAACAAAAATTAATTTTAAAATGGTTTTTAAATATTTAATGTTATTAGTATTTAATTCTATTAATGCTTAATTTTAAAATCTAATAAAAAAATATGAAGTGTAAATATTTAATTAAAATGGCAATAATATGATAAAGTTTCATTAATTTAAACAAAACTACACTACTAAATAAAAAATACCCATCCAAAATAAAAACTAAAAAAATAACAATACTATGAAAAATATTAATATAACTACGATAATGATTTTAAAAGTTGGATATATAGCAGTGTTAAGTTAAGTTTTTATTTTTTTAAATGAAAAGGTAAAAAACTGGTGTTAAATTAGGTTTATAATTTTTTAAAATGAAATGGTAAAAAGAGTGGTGTTCAATTAAGTATTTGTTTTTTTAAGTGAAAAGAATTTGTGTTGAATTAAATTTATAATTTTAAGAAGAAATGTAAAAATGTACCGTGATATTCTAGTATGCTCGTCAAAATCTGAGTGCATTTGGTTTGTAAAATTGTTAATTTGTATCATTCATAATCTCTTATGGCAGATATGGCATTTGCAACAATAGATTGACAACACATCTAAAGTAATACTATTAACTTTTTTGAATAACTTAACAAATGTTAATGTAAACAATGTTTTTGAAGACAAACAATTTCACCAGGGTCAATAGATTTCTTTCATTAAGTTATTTGTATAAGTTTAAATGACCTCAAATTTAATTTTGTTACTCTGTGCTTAGGAAAAGTTTAAATGACCTCAAAGTTTAAATGACCTCAAATATTTTCATTATCATGTGAGTCAAATTAATTTTACGCCCCTTAAAAAATTATTTAATTACATCCAAAACTAATTTGTGCAAATATTTATCTAAGGGGGTTTTCATAACATTGGAAATCAATGTAATTGGAATGACCTGGGGATGTTCTGGTGTCCCGTTCGTAAAAATGACGGTTCCTACCCCCTAATCCCGGTAAATCCTTACTCTGCCCCGACCCGAACACACTCCTCCACCTCTTTCAATTGCACCTGACTCCAAAGTCAAAATTAAATTGGAGGTGCAATTGAAAAAGGTGGGAGGGGGGTGTGTTCGGGTCTGGGTGGGAGTTTAAAGGGGATTGAGGGTAGGAAACGTCAACTTTACGAACGAAACACCGAAGTACCCCGAATCATCCTATGATATTGATTCTCAATATCATGAGAAACGATCCCTAATTATCTATAATTTCACAAATAATTACAAAGTACTCCCTCCGTCCTCAATTTGATTACAAATTGCGGGTTACGGAGTAAAATTTCATATTTTTTGAAATCATTTTATTTACAAATTGGTATATCAATAAGATATAAAAATTACATAATAAAAAACTACGTCAAAAGTTCTACAAAACAAGAGGTAACAAGAATATTTTATTTTATCAAATACTTAATGAAATCGCGTAAACAAACAAAAGTTATCAAGAAGAAAGAGAAAAAAAAATTGTAATCTATTTAGAGACGGAGGGAGTATTATTTATACGGACATAAAATAATCTATATTGTTCTAAATCCTAACCCTCATTCACGAACATCGGTCACGAGGACACGAGGTGTTTGTGATAATTCCTCCCAGACCTAGGCTCCCACAAATAAAGACGTTGTCGAAATCGAACTGCCACTCTATTGGCGGATACCGACCGGTGGCAGACCAGCTGTTGTTCTTTAAGAAGACGAGGAACATTCCTCGATAGGGAAAATTTATAACCAGAACCGCCGCGACGCCGCCGTCTACAGTCACGTCACTCTGCACCAACCTCTGTGTCGCGAGGCTTCTGCCCCCCCAAAAAAAACCATCTTCTTCTTCTGTTGGCTTTTCCATCCTTGTTTTTCCTGCCCTTTCAAGAAATTTCACCCGAATACACCATCTAATCTGTAATCCCTCTGTTCTCAAACCAAACTAGAAGAAAGTGAATCCTCCATTTTCAAGTCCAGGTATTTATGGGTTTGTTCTGCGTGTCAAAAATCAATGAATCATCTTTCAGTTTAGTTGTGGATCTTTGTTTTACTGTTGGATTTATTGATGAAAGAGCCTGTTCAATTTTCCCAATCTCGGAGTAAATAACTTTCATTCTGTTCTTGTTATGCTTTTGAGGAATTTGAAATGATAAGGTTGACGTTTTGACAAATCCCCACTTCCTTTTGCCCGTCCTTTTCTGCCCTTTTCTGCTAGTGATTTTGCTTTAATCTCTTTCGAATCATGGGTCTCCTTTTCTTTATTTCAAACATATCTCCGAAGTTTACTACTCCTTTTCTTTTTCTATTCTTTTTTTTTTATTTTAAATTTTTGACTGGCCCCCCTCTCTTGATTTCACATCTATTTCCTGATTCATTCTATTTTTGACCGTCTTCCTTTCCTTGCATAGGTGAGTTCATACACAGAATTGCTTTTTGATCTAAAGGTGAGAATTGATTTAGCCATATATTTTGTTTGCTCTTTATGACCAGTGAGTTTATGAAGCAGCCCTTGTGTTTTCTTGGATGGGTAATTTTTTATTTTCTAGTAAAAAAGTTGATCTTTATCTTTTTTTTCTTTCTTTCTTGAGGCATATCACATGGAGCAATAAATAGTTGAAAGGGCCATCTTTCTTTCTGTCACTAGCCTTCTGATCTGTGCTTAAAATATGGTTCTTTCAGAATTTCCAGCTTTGCTGTGTTCTCTGGTTCTAATATAAAATCACACAAGATTGTGAGCACAGATAGATTACTTAGTATTGAAACTTTAGATTTGATTTGTATAGTTGAGATTCCCATTAAAGGACAAAAGCTAAAGGCTGCCTAACAGTATACTATTATGGCCTCTTCCCACATGCTAAAAGCATACTGCATTGATTTTTATGATTGATTGATTGGCCTTCCATGCTCCATTTTGTTGACATTTTATAGTGCATTTCAACAAGTAAGTTGAATTGATTTATTGGGTTACTGTTTCCTGCTAGCTGGCCTTGTTATCATCAGCTCACATCTTCTGGGATATGATTGAAAATTGATCAAAGATAGATCAGATCCTGGTTTCTGTCTTTTACTTCCCTGGAGGTCAGAATTTTCTTGGATTTCAAAATTAGATGACCCTTTTCTGTCTCTGAGAAAAAGAAATGGGGTGTTCTGTCTCAACCAGTAGTTGTGGGGAGAAAGAATCTTCTGAATGCTTCTGCAGAAGCTTGTTTGGGCGAAGGTTCCGGAACAACATCCGGGAATCACAGCAGCTGGCTTCAATACCTAACCGGATTTTTTCAAATGGAAGGAGCCGCACGTCTTGTATATTCACTCAGCAGGGTCGAAAGGGCATTAATCAGGATGCCATGATCGTGTGGGAAGTATGTTTTCTGTCTTTCCTTTTTTAACCCTTGATATAACTACTCTCCAAGCATTAGACTGCAATCATTAACTGTTTACACTTGTAGGATTTCATAGCAGAAGATGTAATATTTTGTGGCGTCTTTGATGGGCATGGGCCAAATGGTCATATGGTTGCTCGCAAAGTGAGGGATCAATTGCCATTGAAGCTATTGTCGTTCATGCGGTCCTTAGAATCAAAACGCAATGGCTCTTCTAATTGTTGCCATGGGAAGCCAAAGCTGGACGATGTTGAGCCTGAGAAGGAGGGTCTTATGGAGGATAAGATCATTGGCAGCTCATCTTGGAGAGAAGCTTTCTTGAAATCATACAAGGCCATGGACAAAGAATTAAGGTCTCATCCTAACTTAGACTGCTTTTGCAGTGGCAGCACTGCTGTCACCATAGTCAAACAGGGGTCAAATCTTTTCATGGGGAGCATCGGCGATTCTCGGGCAATCTTGGCATCAAGGGACCACAATGATACATTGGTGGCTATCCAATTGACTGTTGACCTGAAACCCGATTTGCCTAACGAAGCAGAGAGGATAAAGCGGTGTAAGGGACGGGTATTTGCATTGCAAGACGAACCTGAAGTTCCCAGAGTTTGGCTGCCCTTTGATAATGCCCCGGGGTTGGCAATGGCGAGAGCCTTTGGGGATTTCTGTTTGAAGGACTATGGGGTCATCTCCATCCCTGAAATCTCTCACCGTGTTCTTACAGACAGAGACAAGTTTATTGTTCTTGCATCTGATGGTGTAAGTTCTCCACTGCACATTGGTTTCACTATACAATCTTTGTTAGTATTAGACATTGCTAAGTCATAAAGACAAACAAAAACACACACCAACATGATAGATACAAGCCCTTGGTTTCAGGTATGGGATGTGCTGAGCAATGAAGAGGTGGTTGAAACAGTAGTGTCAGCTCCTTCAAGGTCATGTGCAGCAAGGATGATAGTGGAATCAGCAGCGCGCGAATGGAAGACCAAATACCCAACTTCGAAGATGGATGACTGCGCAGTGGTTTGCATGTTTCTTGATGGGAAAATGGATTCTGAATCGGACTACGAAGGCGGCTTCTCTTCTGCCACCATTCACAGCAACAGCCATTCTGGAAATTTTGCAGATTCAGACGATGGACAACAGAACATTGAACCTTCACTGCAGAGGAACTTCACTGTCAGATCAGCAGAGGAAAATGATGCTTTCAAAACGACGGTTGCAGCATATGAAGAAGGCTTGGATGAAGAAGAGGATGACTGGTCGGGACTGGAAGGTGTCACGCGTGTCAACTCATTGGTCCAACTCCCCAGATTTTCTGGAGAGAAGAGAAGGCCATAAGACTCACTCACTATTTATATGATCATAATCTGTATTACTAGTCTTATAGTGCCATCTGAGTTTGCTGTTTTTTCATATTCTTTGAAGGCTTTCCGTTCAAGAAACTATTTCTGCAGTTTTTTTCCCACTTTTTCCCTTAGGACAAAGGTTGGTGTTCAGTTTCATACAACTTTCTTGCAGTTGTCTCTCAATTGTACAAACCATTTTTTCATGAAGAAGCTGCTGCACTGCATTGGGTGGGGGTGGGGGGTGGGGTGGGGGCTTGGTAATATGATTTTTTATTGTGAGAAAATGAGGTAGGTAAAATTTTGTTCTTTGAAATAATGGGATCCAACTCCCAAGTGCTTTTTCCATTTTTTTCTCATTGTCCTCCACATTCAAATGGAGTATGTTGTGGCCATTTAGTCTTTTCAAAAGACTTGGCAACACACTTCCTCCATTCACCTTTTCTACTACTCTCTCTGTAAATCTTTACACTTTCATTTTTCATTTGTTCCAAAAAAAATCTTTTAGGCCTAAAGGGATATAAATGCCCTTATTTCTTCTAAATCTTACATAACCTATCCCAAATCCCTTCTATGCCTTTCTTATTTTGATATTTCCCAAACTTTATTCATATCAATTGTCGTCATTTACCTTTGGCCAAACGTCTATAGTTTCTCAAACTTTATTCATATTAAAACATGAAATATTTTTAGAGACGGAGAAATACGTTTAAAGTTTTGCTAAAGACAACCAACTGAACCAAGTAACTTGACGGGTTTGATTGATTGCTAGTTAGTTAGACTCGGTATCATGTTTCTAGTAGTTCTTGTGGAATGATAAGATTGCATATTTAATTTTTCTCAAGTTCCTTTTGGTAATATATGCATTTGGTTGACAAATATTACTCTGAACTCAGTATTTGATAAGTCTGAACTTAAGTGCACGAGATTTAATTATCCACCTTTGAAATATCTCATTTTTAGCACTTTGCAGTATGTTTGACAAAGAGAAATGGAGAGGAAGAATTCGATAGAAAATGAATAGAAGAATAAAATCAGGAGAATTGAAGAAGAATTAATTTCTCGTATTTGATTAGTTAATATATAGATAAATATTTATTGAAATAGAATTATAAGCATTTTTTTAAAAAAAAAATGTTCATTGAAAAAAAAAATTATTGAAAAATCTATTTTTTAAATGAAAAATTTATTACAATTAAAAATATTAAAGAAATAAATATTGCTTAATTCAATAAATAGTACGGAGTACTTCGTAACAATTTTTTTATTAAAAGGAATCTCTCTTCAACTAAATTTCAAATTCTTTCCTACTTTCCTTTTATTTCCTTTCCCGTTTCTTCCAACCAAACAGTAAAAGTTTATCAATTTCCTTCCTACTTCTCTATCCTCAATTCCCTCCTACTTCTCTTTAACCAAAGAGTTGTTCTTCTGTAGTCTTAAAGTTCATATTCAAAGTGTAGTCCTCACATATTTCATGAACTGACAAAAGACTTGATTCTTTTATGATATTGATGTACTAAAATTCATAAAATGAACATGGATCTTAAGATCACATAAGAAGGTGCCTTAACACCCAAATAGACAATAGAAGTAGGTGTAAAATACTCCCTATCAAAAGAATTCCTTAAATGAGCTTTTATTGATATCAACAATGCTAGTACTTTTAGGCAAATTCCTTCCTTAAATGGACAGCTAAACTGTGGTAGGATGTTAAATCTTGTATTGATGCCGACAATGTATTTTTAGATAATCTATCATAATTTATTTACCAAATACATAGCACTAAAAAATAGACAACAAAAAAAATGGACAGCTTTTTAACGAATTTTATTATTTTAGTATTATTCCAAATAAATCTTTAAGTATTACAAGTACATCAATGAACCTTTCAAGAAACTAAACAAGAAAACAAGCCTCAGCTAAGAGAGAAATAGAAGAAAGCTACACAAGGATACAACAACAAAGATTATACTAAGCTATGGTTTATAGCTAGGTATCAGTTTGGTATGTATGTAGTAAGTACTATTGGCCTCTTATGAATCTTCAGAAACACGAGCCTCGGATTTCTCATTGGAATAACTGTAGTAAATTATTATAAAAAAACAACATATATGAGGAAAACAAGAATGTCAAACCAAAACTAACAGGTTTCTTGAAAAATGGAGTGTGCGTACATATAATAAAAATATATACTTACGTCGAGAGTATAGTGACCCATACCAGTTCCACACAGTCTACCCATAGGAGCCTTTGCTCGACCGGGATCACACCATAAGTGATCAGATGAGCAAATGGCCAAAGCTTCCATCCTGCCTGAAACAATTCACTACCAAAATATGTAACTCGTGTTTCCCTATAGCTTCTTAATAACTTTTCTTGCTTCTTAAATGGATTTTGAAGAGAGCCATATGAAATGAGTCACATGATGCATGAACAATGGATGCACATTTTTTTTAAAAAAAAAATCTTTGAGATTTCTCTCACCGTGAGCATGGGCCAGTATGTGGATTGGAGCTCGCTGAAGATAGTGCCAGGGGATTCAAAGCGCAAGAAGCCCAGAACCAGATAGTAGATGCTGTTCCAGAGCGAGGCCCAGATGGTTTGGTCGAAAGCAACTTTGGCGGGGACCACCCACCAAGTGTTGAATGGGAAGAGAGCCTGCAAATGAAAGCCGGAGCCTTGTAAATTTCGAAGGCCAGAAAGGGCTGAATAAAAACACGGCTGAACTTACCTCACAGAATTGGTAATAGTAGTGGGATAGAGATCCGTGAAGTAAGAATCCGACAAGGCCAGACCTGAACATGCGTGTCCGGTCAAAATCAAGAAGAGGTTTCCCTTCATAACACTTCAAGCCCATAACAAGAACATAAAAATTAGAGAAAACAAAATGGGTTTTCAAAAACATAAAACAACAACAAAACCCAGAATAGTGCCAACTCCATTGTGGTCTATGGTCAAGATGTATGTATCCTTACCCCTCCCTCTCAAGGCAGAGGAGTTGTTTCTGTTATTAGACCATTGATGCATTCATTATTTAGTATTTACTACCCAAAACTTCATAGAAAGAAGCATGAGAACTTTAATGTGCATTTTGATTTAATGCAATGTTTACGCAAAGCTAAAATATTGCCACTAATGACTCTCTTAGCTCAATTGGGAATTGATGCAAAAGAGTATAAAATAAAACAAATGAAAAATCAGATGTTGAAATTATTGAGAAAAGAGGGCATACTTGAGCAATCCAGTCTCCCAGAGAATAAACAATGCCACTAATAACCATTTTAGCTAACACAGGGTTTGCTTTTAAAGCCTCTTCATAAGCAATCCAGTTATGCTCTGGTGCATACCTCAAGACTTCATAAAGGGTCCATCCCTGAGCCACACACAACAAAAGTAAAATCAAATCTTTCCAAAGCCATTAACCACATCACCGTTCCATTTCATTTACCCCTAAATTTGTCTTTCCATTTCAACATTTCCTTTTTTCCCCGTTTTAAGGTTTAACTAACCTAAGCTTGAATAGAAAGAACAATAAACAAATGTCAATTTCTTTGAAAGTAAAACAGTAAAACCTTTCTAACAACGCAAAAATAACTTCTTCTTTTTTTGCTCGGAATCCAAGCACACATTTTTCTTAAGCAAAACTGTGGATATTCAGTTTTTTTATTTGCACAAAAAAAATCGTATCTTGAAATTTCCTATATCAATATATGTGCTCTATAATCTCAGAAAAAGAAGAAAATCAGAAAATGCGAGAAAATATAAAAACAAAACTTACAAATGTAGCTTTCTCACCCCCAAAAAAATCAATATCTATATCGAAATATCCACCAAATTTTCAATAAATTCAAAGAGCAGATATTTCCACAATCATAAAGATATTTTTAACCTTGTTCTTGACCAAAACAGAAATTTAGCTGCATTTGACAAAATTAAAATAAGAACAAACTAAAGAAGAATATCCAAATGCTGCAATGTCTACTGATACCAGATAAACAATGGGAGAAGAAGAGGAAAACTCACTTTCCAATAATCATGATCAATTGTAAGCAGCTTAGTGATGGCCAGAGTACCAGCGCCAAGAACAATAGCCGCATTAAGAAACCTATCTCTGTCGGACAAAATAGACACGATGGGGTTCTTGGCCGGCTCCGATTTCGCCTCTCCGTGGGCCTTCTCCTCGCCTCCTCCGACGAATTCCGCAGAGCCCACCTCTCTTTCTTCGGCCACGGACTTTATTCGCCGGAGGGACGAGGTTTTCGGTAGCTTGAGTGAGGTCAAAGAAGTACCCCGATCGGTTGACTGGGCGGAATTGAAGGGAAAGGTCCGGTGTTTCTGGGCATCAGAGGTGGAGGATTTTACGGGTGAGGGGAGGAGATTGGCGGAGACGGTGCTGAGCGCCGACATCATTTGCCGGCGGCGGTGGCGCGCGTGGCCGTGAGAGTGACTATTGGCTCTTACTCCGTTAACTCTTCGGCGGTTGATCTTGAGAAGAAAAGCAAAAGGCAAGCAGATGCCCAAAAAAATCCAAAAAAAAAAAATAAATCTCTCAATCGGTAGGAGAAAAAAAAGAGGTTCCACCGAGACTTGAACCCGGGTTACTGGATTCAAAGTCCAATGTCCTGACCACTAGACCATGGAACCTAGTTGTCACGTTCTTCGAATGACGGATAAATAGTCCCTCCGTCAACCAAAAATCTTCTCATTGCGCATTACAAGGTTTGACTGGCTTTATTTTCAATTCAATTTATTTGATTATAAGGATAAAACTTAAAAGTAAAATTTATATAATAAAAAAGTACATAAAAATTTTACAAAACTAGAGGTGACAATACTATTTTATATTGTGAAATAAGTGGGTAAAATAAGCATACAAAGTGAGTTAAATTTGACCCTGTGAATAGTGTATTAGCAGTTACCACTCTTTTCTTATTTGTAATGACACCTTTGGATTCTTAATTCACTTTTTTATGTAGCAAATTATTTCATTGTATGATTACGTCAAATTTTAGATATTTTACACCATTTTATTTTGGGATGATTCATAAGGTGTATTATGTTGATAAAAATTCCATGTTTAATGTCATTTTGATAAATTTTGTATTTTTTATTATCTAAAATGTATATTCTTACATGTACATGTGCAATTTTACTTACTATAAGAAACACATTCTTTGTTTATTTCATTTGTTTAATTTAATTTTTTTCAAGTTAAATTAAAAGAATTTAATATAATGAAATAAAACTTCAGATTTTTTTATACAAGATTGATGTAATGATATCACTTTATACTAATGTTCTATACATCATTTATTCACATACTCACAATAAGAAATTCTTTCGTCCATTTCATTAATCTAATTTGATTTTTAAAAGTTAAACCAGGTAAATTTAAACACTAGTTAAACTAAATTTATGTTTGCATATTAATATAATCATTGTAAATAAAACTTCAAAAGTTTTATATTGATGTAATGATATTATTTTTACACTAATGCACTATACACCATTTATTCACATATTTACAAAATGTCATAGTCTAAAATTTTAACGTTGTCACTTATATGACTAGTTTGATTTTGAATACACTTAATCCGAAGTCTAATAAAAAATAATATGAATTTTAAAATTTGAAATTAAATTATTTGGAAAGATTTAAAATCACGATTTAATTAGTGATGGATGAGGGAGGCTGACAACATGGATTGTTGGTAGCCGATGGCAAGAAATAATTAACGATTGAAAAAGATATTAAAGTTTCATATTGGTACCTTTCAAATTTGGAAGATATCCAATTTATCCATTTAGAGGATAATTGATGCGTAGAGATATGAAATTTGATATCTCTTTTGCCTTTACCAAACACCAAAAATTTGTATATATATGAAGATATCAGAACGCATATATCTTTTGATCACCGACCACACATAAAGATTTATTATGGTAATTATTTTATATAAGAGATTTTAGCCAATCAAATCAATCTACACAATAAAAATTTTATCGAATATTTTAAGCATTTCTCATGGGTGGGTAATTAGAGTTAATACTCGTTTTAGTCCTTGTAAGCCCACTCACGAGTTAATTTAGTCAAATCAGTCATTATAATTTGGGAATATGAATCAAATTAGTTTTTTATGTAAAATTAATCTTCTAAAATTCTAGTTACGCGATAATTGCTTTTGCATCAATTAGTGTGATACTTCAGAATTTTAGAAGATAATTCTCGTTCGAAGAACTAACTTGATTCACATTTTATATTGTCATCACTACTCTATTATACTTCCAATGTTAACTATTACACTGCCATTATATTCTTATTTTGGTTTTAAAAGATTTATGACTCCTATTTTAGTATTTTTATACTTTTTTTACTTCTATTTAGATAAAATTTTTTTATATAAAGACTAATTTGATTCAAATAAATTTTGCTTTGAGTGGTTGTGGATGTCCGAGTCACTCCGTCTCCAACGTTGTCTTCCCTCCATCTTTTTTCAATGTTGCCTTTCTCTACTTTTATAGCTCTTTCCCATCCTTTTCCGGCTTAAAGTATGATTTTCATCAGTTCTTGCCCTGTTTTCTCGTCCAGTCTTGGCCACAATCCACTTGCAAGTAAACAAAATCTTATCTTTTTTTTTGGGGTGCTCCAATGTGCTCATTGATTAATAAATACAGAAAGATTTCAAATTGCCACTCAGCAGCTGCTCTCAAAGAAGCCAAGTAGCCGATTGGGGAAAAAGGTTGTATTTTGGATCAATGGGTGCGTCTGGTTTTGGAGTTTTCTGCTTCAATTTAAAGATACTCGTGGGGGTTTTCTTCATTCTGGGCGTCCGTATGGAAGATCAGACTAATCCCGATGATGGTAAGGTTTAATTGTTGCTTAATTTATAGTTAATCCCTCCCCTTTTTCTTAAGACACCGATTTATTTAGATTTTACTTTGATTGCCTTGGAATTTTACTTTAGATTAATTTTGCATAGCTTAGGTTCATTGATTCATAAATATGTTGGTTTTAAAATTAGTTAGGTGTTTAAATTCTTCAATGGATTTAAATTTAAATAAATAAACCCAACATGCTCCACAACCTTAAAACCTAGACTGCTAGACAGTAGACACACTCATTTTTAACAAGGACAAAGCACTACAGAGATTCTTGTAGCACTATTTAAAAATGTGCAAATGAGTACTTGTACTCACGATTTATATTGGAACGTAGGGAATATTATTCTTTTTTTTTTCAATTTGGTCATTCGGTTTATTCTTGCACTTAAGAACATACAACTCAGGTTCTACATTGAAATTTCCTTTTCTTACAATGGTGTAGTTGCTGCAATTTCTAGTTTATATGCTGCTTTAAGCTCCCCTCCTTTACCCGGATGGAATTCAAGCAGCCCGTGCAGTGGAAGCTGGCAAGGCGTTGCCTGTGACGGTCCAAACATAGTCTCAATGTGTGTGTGCCCTTCTTATAATGTCTGAAAATTTTTGGTATCATATCAAATGGAAATGTCAATTAATCTCACCGTTTTTGTTTTTCGTGTTCAGAATAATCATTGGTGCAAATTTGGGTGGTGAATTGGGAGATGATTTGGGACGGTTTTCCTCAATCAAAATAATGTAATTCACAAACCAGTCTCTTAATGATGTTTTCTTCTTTCATATATTGTGTCCATTTATTGCCATTAACACAACAAAGTGTGCGATGTTTATGTGGCAGAGATCTGAGTAACAACCACATTGCTGGCTCAATTCCGTCGAATCTGCCACTTACCTTGGAAAGGCTGTGTGTTTTCAATCATTTCAAAAAAATGAATACTCTTAACATAAATGTGTGTCTATTTGTGTTTTTCACTACTCACACTACATGTCACTGTTTGTTTGGTTTGGTTTGGTTTATGTTTGTGGTATGCAAAACAAATACATTGTTTGAGTAATAGGTTTTAACCTTTTTTTTGCAGGTTTCTATCAGATAATAATTTCTCTGGAAGCATTCCCGATTCTTTATCTTCACTAAAGAACCTATCAGCTATGTATGCTTCTCCTCCGTTTGTTTTCCCGAGAAGTGTTTTTTAAAGCTTGCATAAATTTATGCATCTTTGTGCTCATTTTTAGGTCGCTAAATAACAATCATTTAAGCGGAGAAATTCCTGATTCATTTGATGGCCTTGTCAATTTGTTCAACTTGTAAGAAGATGCCATCCTGAAACCGCTCACATGTAGTAACATCTGTGTTTTAGCCTGTGTTAACATTGCTAAATCAGCGAATTTCGTTCGTGCAGAGATTTATACAGCAACAATTTGAGTGGGAGATTGCCTCCGTCATTGGGAAACCTGTCATTGACCAGTCTGTGAGTTTTCATACTACCTCCATTCCATAAAAATATTCTGTTTTTGACTTTCATGGAGTTTAAGAAAAGTGGAAAGAGTATGGTTGAAATTTGTTAAGAAGATAAATAAAATTTTTGAGCCGCATATTCTTTTTCTTAAAAGTGAAGTTTTTTGGGACCGACGAAAAAGAAAATAGTGAAGATTTTTTCGGGGCGGAGAGAGCATTATTCTTTTAAGAGTCATGTATACATCAAAACACTAGTGATCCATATTTGGTTTTGCAATGCCTTACCAATGTCAGACTAGCTAATCGATTGAAGTCAAAATTTCATTAGGGATTAGCAATACACATGCATTATGAACACTATGATTAGTATTTCAGTTTTATGCTTCTTTTATTTTGCTATCCGCGAAGCTAACAGCTTGATCAACAGTCATTTGCAGAATAATCAGCTTTCGGGAAGGCTTGATGTTTTACAAGATCTTCCACTTACAGATTTGTACTCTACCAACCTAAATTCCTCTCAAATCATTTGCATTTTGGAGTGAATTAGTGTTATACTAATCAGTACCCTTCTTCCCATTTTCATCTCCATTTCAGAAACATAGAGAATAACCTGTTTTCTGGACCTATACCTCAGAAGCTCTTGGCTATTCCCAATTTCAGGTAAGTTTTCTGAATATAGGCCCTTCCATTAGAATTCTGATCCAGAAAAGAAAAAACAGTTTTTTTCAACAAACTAGACTAACCCTTCATTTACACTATTCACACCAACTTTCACTGGTTTATCGGTATCTTCTCGGAAACAAAAAATCTCTTCCTAGGTATGGAGGCAATATGCTTTACATCTTAGTGAAATAAGTGAAATATGTTGTGTATGTATCTTTTGGTTTTAGACTTCTGGTTTTCCAAAAAATAAGTGCCCAAATAATTTAAACATGATAATTTTAGTTAAACTTAAAGGTATATGAAAAATTTACATATAATCAATGACTTAAAGAGTTATACCCTCCAAAAAAAATTGTAGGGGGGGCAGTTATATAGCTGTCTTGAGAAGCTATTTGGTGACACTTTTCAATCATTTATGAACCATTTTATAACAAAAATAGGAAAGATGGGAACCCTCTCAATGGAACTGATGCTCCTTCACCTCCACCAACACCCTCTCAAGGGAACCCTCCCAATGGTACAGATGCACCTTCACCTCCGCCTACACCATCCAAAGCCCCTTTAGCATCACCGCCCTCTTTTGTGGCTCCCACGTCTGCTCCGACCCTGCCAACCCCTGCAAGTGGGCCTGCAGAATGGGCTGATGGGCCATCACGAACTGGAGGACGAATGTCAAAGAAAAACAGAAGTTCAGCAACCTTTAAAAGGATAGTGTGGATTTCAATCCTGTCCATAATAGCATTTGTTGTATTGGTTTTAGCAGTCCTGCTCTGTTTCTCAAAGCGTCTTATCGAAAGGCAAGACACCCCTAAATTAAGTATGCGGCCTAAAGTCAAAAAAGGTACTGTAGCATCTTCCAAAAAACTGTTATCAATGAATTGAAGAACATAATGCCTTTTTTTGTTTGTATTTTTGTATTTAACCAATTTGAAATGACTTAATACATTGATTAACAACTTTCATAAATGTGTGTCGGCAGCTCTTGAAAAGGTTGAGCATAAATTAAGCACACTTGATTCCCCTACAAAGCCACTTCCTATGCTAGATGCACATGCAGAACGATTCACTGTTATGCCAAAGGGCGACCTTGAGATTAACAAGTATGACAATGATGTGATCCCACCGCCACCACCGCCGCCACCATTTCTACAAAAGAGGGCTATTGTTGGCCCACAACAAGCCACCGATAAGCACTCAATGAGACAACCTCCACCATCTTCTGTGAAGTCTTACACAATTGCAGATCTTCAGCAACATACCGATAGTTTTTCTCAAGATAACCTTATTGGGGAGGGAACGTTGGGCAAAGTGTTTAAGGCTAAGCTTCCTAATGGCAAGGTATGACTACTAGTTCAACAAAGTTATATTGAATATTTCCAGAAATTATGTCATAGCTAGTCTTTGTCTCTTGGAAGCACTCTCTCTAGTCTCTACTTATGAGTAGAGTTAAGGTCTATATACACACACCCTCCCTAGACCCTACATAGAGCATGTTCTCTTTGTATGATTGGATTTGATCTGATTTTATTAAGGTCTGATCTGATTGTAGTTATATTTAAATGTAGTTATATTTAAAGTTGTTTCCGATATGATTCTAATAAGAACAAGTAATAAGTTGGAGAGAACATGCCCTCAGAGCTTGTTCTATTCATCTGATTTTATTAAGGTCTGATCTAATCTTATTGTAATTATATTTCAATTTATTTATGATCTAATCCGAGTCCAATAATAATAAGTAACAAGTAATAAGAATAAGTTGAATAGAACAAACTCTTAGATAGCTAGTCATGCAAATTATTGGAGCTCACTGTCTTGATGGTTGTTTAGTTACTTGCCGTAAAGCAACTATACAAAACTGTGTGCAATGAGCAAACAGATGAGGAGTTTCTTGAGATGGTTAGTAGCATTTGTAGACTACAACATCCCAATATTGTCGAACTCGAAGGCTACTGTGCAGAGCATGGGGAAAGGTTGCTGGTCTATGAGTATTGTGCTATGGGCACACTGCACGATGCACTCCACACTTTCAAACAAAACCTTTCATGGAATATGCGAATCAGTATGGCCCTTGAAGCCGCTAAAGCCTTGCAGTAAGTAATTTTTTTTGAATTATATATATTTTTTCTAGCCAGCCGTTGAGTGCATATTTAGTAGGTGTTTCTCTGTTTTTTATAAGCTGGTCAAAACTGCTTAGAAGCATTTTTTAACTTATAAGTGCATTGATGACATGTTTCTCTGTGTTTATAAGCTGACTTATAAAGTTATAAGCTGCTTATAAATCAGAAAAAATAAGTAGGTCTTACCTACTTATTTTTAAGTTTGTTTTTTCATTTCTCCGTTCTGATCATATTATTTACAAAACTATCTCTCACCATTTATGAATAACCCCAAACGACTTTTCTATCATTTAAGTCATTTTACTTTAACAAAATAATATTTGGCTTATAAGCAACTTATAAGTTAAAAACTACTTATCACCAATAAGTCAATAAGCACCAACGCAGAGAAATGCCCCCATAATCCTTGTAATTTATTAAACAAGCCAATTATGGTCTATGAATGCTTAAGGTATCTGCACGAGACTTGTGAACCACCGGTTGTTCATGGAAACTTCAAGTCTGCAAATGTTCTCCTTGATGATGATGGTCTTGGTGTTCACATTTCTGATTGTGGCTTAGATCCATTGATATCATCAGGAGGACTGGGTAGCCAGGTTCTTTCTTTTCTTCTTTCTCTTTTCTTTTTAGGTACCGAAAGAATATTGGAAAATTGACCATGGGTTCTTAATTGGATCAGTTATCTGAACAACTCCTCACAACATATGGTGCACGCGAGTTTGAGTTGGGGATTTATACCTCAGAGAGCGATGTGTTCATTTTTGGAGTTGTAATGCTGGAGCTGTTAACTGGCTGTGAGCCATATGACAGGTATAACACATTTACACATCCCATTGTTGTTTTTTTTTTGCTTCTTTATCTGAACAAATGGTTTCTGATTGTGTCTATGAATGTGACAAATAGCACGAGGGCTCACGGAGAGCGATTGCTGGTGAGATGGGCAGGGCCCCTGCTTCATGATATCAATGCCTTGACAAATATGGTTGACCCTTCTCTTTGTGGGTCCTACACCCCAAAATCACTCTCACGCTTTGCTGACATCATCTTCCGCTGCATCCAGGTGACGCTCAAGATAAAAGTGCATGTGTTGCAAAATGACTCTTTTGCCCTCCGTGTTTGTGTCATAATTTTGATTGAACTTTTTGGGCATGCCTGCAGGAGGCGCCGGAGTTCAGGCCAACAATGTCTGAAGTTGTACAGGACATTGAGAAAATGATGGAGGAGATGATCGGATCTAATGACGGTAATATTGATGATTCGGCGTCGGAGTTGAGGAGTGAAAATATACAAGGCCACTGAATTGGACTACTCTTGATGAACATACAAAACACTTGTTGAAACAAAGGGTGGCTTCTTTCAATCTACTCTTTTAAACAGAGATATGGTAAATGAGCTACCCAGTGCAATGTTTACACCATCTCTTAAGTTGAAATACTCCCTATATGCAAATATGCAATAGCCCTAGTGCATATGAACCTTTTGGCTTGGTTTGGTTATTTGCGTATTGGCGCCAGGAGGCGTAGCTCAAGTGTTCAATAGTAGTTTAAAAGGACGTTGTGACCGGGTTTGACTCCGGGATGTTTTATATGCTTGTATAAAAGTTTTTGCTAGGACTAGACACAGATCTCATTCTCATTGCTTAGTTCAGATTAGGGTGAAAGTAGGAAAAAGACAATTGAATTGTTATCTATGAATTATGAAACAAACTACGGAGTAATATTTTTGAGAGTTAGACGTCATCAAAAGAAGCATGTGTTTGGGACTTGTACAAAATGTTGTGTTTCTCTAATCACAATCACAAGATTGGTTCACTTTCTTTTTAAAATTTTTTTTTTACTTTCTTGTTAACTAGGTTTTGCATGTCTAAATTTTAAATCAAACATCCCCTATCTATTTTTAAAATGTACACTCCGTATGAATTAGTACGTTTTTGCTCCAAGCTATGTGAAAATATAAAGAATGAACGAGTTTTATATTTACCTTTTTCAAGCTCTATGACTCTTGTGAAGGGGGTTTTGGGTTTATTTTAAACTTTGGAATCCATTTTTCTAGACTCTTCTAAAAAATAAGTTTAGATTTTTGAAAAATATAATGGTAGAAATGTTACCCTATTTGTTTCAAATGAAGTTCACTTTCAATATACAAAATTAAACATGTTTAAATGACATAATATTTGATGAAAAATGCGTAAAAAAGTTTTATTTAGGAAAAAATTAAAACGATCACACTTTAATTTCCTAAAGAGAAGCAAAAAAACCTAGATTATATTTTTAGAAAATCCAAATGTGATAAATGTAAACTTAATCTTGGAACATAGTGAGTAATATGAGGAGTTTTTATGTTTATTTTTATTTTGATCCTATTTAAGACTATGTGATATGTTTTTGTCCTATTTAGGACCATTTCTCATACACCACATCCGATAAATTTTTTCAATATATTCTTCTTTTTTGGACGTCTCAAATGAACATTTTACATTTATTTTATTTATTACTTTTTAGAATTTTATTTTAAGAAATGAATAAAAGTCATATGCAAAACATTTTTAGTAGGAAAATATTTTAATATTCCTCTATCTCATGCATGTTTTGGAGAGAAACATGGCTTATTTTGATAATCAATTTAATAAGTACTACGGAGTATAGTACGAGTAATAAATTAAAATAATGATTTTCAATGATAATTAGAAGATAAATCCAATTAAATTATTTTGTACTAATATATACGGAGTAATATATTTTTTTGTCTAATTTACAATTAAAATATTTATAATTTACCATAATTTTTTGTATAATTTGATTACAAAAAGTCAAACGGCTATACAAATATTTTAAAATTTGGATTTCTTTTTTGAAAATTTGGGAAAAAAAGTTAAGCTCCACATGAGCTGACCAATTGGCGATCCTATATAACGCCAGAGCGCCCATTTACCGCGCAAGAACAATATTTCGCTCTCACTCCAGCCCGATCACAATGCCGCATCTTTTCAGTTTAAATCTGAAACCCTAACTCTCCAGTAGATCATAGATCCCATAATTCATTCACACTAATACATTGGGGTTTATGAAACAGATCGATTGAAAATTTCCAGCATTCTGTTCGTTTTCCCTGCAAGTGTTATCGGAAGAATTCGCATATTTCAGAGTGTAGATATTGTTACTGTACTGAATCGCTGTTATGGCTGGGTATTATAATAACCCGTTTGATGAAGAAGAAGCAGAACAAGCCAATCCGTTTGCGGTATTCCCGTTTCCGTGCACTTATGCAAAATTGTATGGATTTGAATCGTACCAATGCTAGTTTGATTGAATTTTCGAATTTTTAGATTTGTGGTTGTGTTAATATTTCACATCTTTACGAGGTTACTTTGGAAAAAATCATGCTGACTGTTGTTCAAATTCGCGGAGTTTAGGATTGTTTTGTCTGGTAGGATTAGTGATTTTTCCTTATGGAGGTTATGATTTGAGTATTGTGTGAAGTGCATTTGGCTAGACGTTTGTGTATACTGAAAGTTCAGATTGGAAGTTTGTGTTGAGTTGAATTCTGAGCTTCGGAAGGAAGAGAAGTGCATGCTATTAAAGCATCGATAATCTGGTATCGTCTTGATATTATCCTCCTTTAGGTTGCTTTCGGTTACATGGCATCAAGAGAATATAGGCTATACTATGTGTGTGTGTGCATGTATGCACGTAATGTATATATATTTCAGTGTGTGCATGTCTGAATATAGTGTGTGTTTGTAAATTCTGTTTGTTTGTAGAACTAATTTCCTTCTGGCAATGAGTTGGAGTATTTTAATATGTGAATTATTATGACTGAGAGACATGAACTACTAGCAATCAAGCATGTGAATGAACATTGGTGAGCTTTAAATGTCATCTTTTTCTTGAGTCATAGCATGAAGCATATGTTACTCTCCGTTTGATTTTATTCTTTTTTTTTTGCGGTGAAACTTTCATAACTGCCTCACTTTATGTCTAACATTTGTTTCTGTCTTCAGGACCAAAGAACTCGAGGCACAGCTCAATCAAATTATGGTAGCGGTCCATTTTATATGACAGTACGTTTATTCTATTTTTTTTAATCATGCCATCTGTTCGTGATCCTTTACTTCCTGAAATTGTTGCTACTTTACCATTGGGAAAAAACTTCTTTTTCATGATTGTATTCAAAACCTATAAATGAAGTCCAATTTGGCTCCTTGCATCTTAGCATTAACGAAACGGTGGCACAATTTAAAAAATTGGTATTAATAACTAGCGGAACATGATATTTGAATTTGGGTATTATAATGGTACTCAGGTGCTGATGGAATTGTTATTGGCTACTTAGTTCTAGTTCTCCCAATGCTAATCTATTGGCCCCTTTTTGCCTCCATTTGTGTTCTCTCCAAAGGCCCAAATAATTGAATTTATCAAAACTCATTTTTAATTCTAGCATAATGCGGAGTAAGACATCTTTACTTATTTATATCAAGTGGCAGTGTGGCAGTGCTAGTGAGGTGGATGATCCCTCCCCCTCCCCAACCCCCCAAAAAAACAAAGTACCTGCATTTGAGCACTTCGGCCCTTTCAAAATTATTGCTCAATGCTAATTTGTTAGATCAGTCTAAAAATAGTGTCCAATAAATTACAAGTATAATTTACCCTCACCCATTCAAATTTGGCCCCCTTATATTTTATTTTTGGCTCCGTCATTGCATATAAATCTCTCTCTTTTGAAGCTGATGCTTTCATGCGAATTGGAGACAGTCTGTAATTTTTGCACATGAGACTTTTAGCAGTTACTCATGCTTTATTGTTGCTGAAATATACAGAATCATGGGACTGTTCCACCTGCATCAAACTCAACTATCTCTCCTCTTCCACATGAACGGGCTGGCTATGAGTTTCGGAATACGGCGGATATTCCTATTGATAGTGCCAAGGTGGAAAACGATAACCGGTGCTACTGTCTTTTTCAAGGATTCTAGTTTGTGTTTGGGAGTTTGGACCCCATCTCCTCTCTCCAAATTCCTAATCCCTTGGTGATATGGTATAGGATCCTTTTTTTATTAGTGTTGAAGTATCTTTGTTTGATTTTGTAGATGCAGGATTTAAAGAAGAAAGAGAAGGAAATTCAAGCTAAGGAAGCTGAACTGAAGAGGAGGGAACAGGTTGGATTCTGGATTTTGTGTCTTTATTTCTATTATCTGGCTTAGCATTCTTTTGAATTCTGAGACTATAGTTCCCTAAAATAATCCACCTCAAAATTTGTAATGAAATCTGATGTTTTGAAATTATTGCTCCCTCCACCCCTAAATAATCTTATCATTTACTATTCACAGAGTGACATGGTCAAACTATACTCACTTTCTTTACCTATTTTCATTGATTATTTGATACAATAAAATATCTTGTTACCACTTGTTTTGTAGAACTTTTGAAGTAGTTTTTAAACATATAAGTTTTATTTATTTATTCTACACCAATATTTATATAAATTAAATTTAAAATAACTTTGGTCAAACATCGTAATCCGAAATGGGAACACTATTTAGGGATGGAGGGAGTACTATTATTATTATTATTATTATTATTAGTATTATTATTATTATTATTATTATTATTATTAGTATTACTACTACTACTACTACTACTATCGTCATCATCATCATTCTGTGTGTAAGACTCATTGTTTTCTGCAGAATGAAATGTTGCTTCTATATTAGGATTTGTCATTTGATCAATTTGGATGCTGTTTGTTTTTAATCTGGAGTACTATTTACCTGTAACTTGAATTCCTATCCTTTTAAGTTTTTTACAATCATTTTTGTGGTCTGTTTAGGATCTGAAAAGAAAGGAAGATGCCATAAAACGAGGTAGATCTCTGTAATGTCTGCACATACTTTCACTAGTTACATAGAACTGCACTCTTTCAGTCATGCTCTAATCTGCATAGTAATAACAGTATTACTCCCTTCATCCCAATATAAGGTTACACATTAAAATCGACATGTTTATTGGGAAAGCTGAAAGTGTGGTTCAAATTTATATAGAGGAGAGATAAATAATGTGATTCACACAACTTTTTCCTTAAAAGGAAAGTGGAACCTTACTTTAGGGCATGTCAAAGAGGAAATGTGAAACTTTTTATGGGATAGCTGGATAGGTGTTATAACAATAATAGTACTACAGTAATAATTATTCTATGTTTTTTTTTTTGTCTTTGAGCAGCTGGGATCATTATAGAGGAAAAAAATTGGCCACCATTCTTTCCTATAATTCACCATGATATTGCAAATGAAATTCCAATCCATCTACAAAGGTTGCAGTATGTGGCATTCATGACAATGTTGGGTAAGTCAAAATGTAGTTTCACTGAGTGTGAGATTTTCAGTTCAAACAACTTCTCTGCATGTTTTGCCAAATATTTCTTACATATGTGGTATATATATATCTTGGAGATCCAATGCCCTTTTGATTTTTATGTATGACAGTCCCTCCATTTCTTTTTTCCCCTTTTGGAGTTGTTTTAGTCTGGATGTGATAAGAGGAATGCCTATGATGTAATGTATTTCGGGGTAATGAACCGCTCCCTCTGTCCCATAAGAGCCTTGTCTCTCAACTTTTTGTCTCAATTAAAGTCATATTTCTCAACTTGTTCAGAAATATAGGTATATTTATGCTTTCTATGAGTTGTACCTTAATAAAATAAAAAAGTTGCAAACTCATTAAAATGGATTCCTTTTTTGTGGGATGGAGCGAGTCCAACTCAAGCACAAAAAACTGAAAGGTAAGCGGCTACAACTTCAAATAGTCCAGTAAAAAAACTCTAAAATTTAGCGTTGATGAGCTAAAGTAGGTTTTTTTGTATATCAATGCAGTACTTTCATTTTTCTGCCAACACCAACTATTACTCGTCCTCAAATGTATACCGGACACATAAGATGATGAATTGAGTTAGCAAATCCCTAGTTCCTTTTTTGGGGGGTAAAGGAGGTTTAGGAATTTAAAATGTCTTTGAATGATATTACCAGATTTGCAATTTTTGTAATTTGTCCATATAGGTCAAGACTAAATGTGGGGTTGTCATGAAAAGGTTGCATTTCTTACTAAATGTGGTTCATTTAAGGTTTGTACAGAGTTTGTAGTAACCAGTAGCATACAGTATTACGGAGTACATTTTTTGAGATAAAGAATTTTGTTGAATAAAAAAAATGAATGCAGTACACTGGTAGTAAGCCCACTTTTAGCTTTTGGCCACTTGCAGGTCTTGTAGTTTGTCTTGGCTGGAATGCAGTAGCTGTTACCTTGGCTTGGACCAAAGGAGAAGGTTAGTTCTGGGGTTTAAAACAACTCTGATACAAGCCAATATTTCTATTTTTTCAGCATGTCCGATATTAATAGAGGGGGGCATTAGATATTTTTCCAATATTTTATTCCATGATAATCTGAAAATGAATATGTCAAGTAAATATGTGTACTTGAAATTGCATAGAACTATTGATGGATATCATCTACATTGATATCGGTAAAAAAGTTAAAAAAAAACAACGGAATACTATATTGAGAATTTCAAACAATACTAAGGGTTCTCTATCGATATTGGCACCTCTACAAAGAAATTGTGGATTTTGAGAAATGTGAGAAGGAATGAAGGATATTTATAATACAGAGTATTTTACAATTGATATGTTTTAGGCATTGTTGTTAAGTCGTCGCCTAGTCTCTGACTAGTCGTCCCGGCATTTTGGAGAGCGTGATTTGAGTGTCGCCTAGCGACTGAAGGAGACTAGTCGTCTGTCGTTGAAATCGACACCTAGGCTACACCTAGCGACTGAAGGAGTGAAGTTTTTACACACACACTAGTAGAATTTCATGGTAGTTTCATAATACTCCCTCCCTTCCTAATTAGTATGCATTTTCCCACTTAATATTCATTCTTTTACCGACACATGCTTTAAAATTAATTGAAAGTGGGTCTTTTTTGTGTGAGTAGATTTTAGATACTTCATTAAGGTTAACAGCTTCGGTTTGTTTGTCACAGGTCCAACAATCTGGTTTCTTGCTATCATCTATTTCATATCAGGTGTCCCTGGCGCATATGTATTATGGTACCGTCCCCTCTATCGGGCAATGAGGTGCTCATCTTTCATTTCTCTTTTCTGCTGCAAAATAAACTTTTCATTAAATATTCAAAATTGCATCCTTGTGCAGTATGAAAGTGACAAATAGCAAAATTTACAAATAGCAAATGTGACAACTGCAAAATAAACTTATCATTAAATATTCAAAATTGAGGGCAATAATGTTTTTGAAGAACAAGTCTTTTGTCTGCCACCTAAAAAATAAAGGAAAGGCGACATGTGTTATGTTGCTTATGTATGTATATTTGATGTATTTTTTTTAATTATAATTATTGCAGGACTGATAGTGCATTGAAATTCAGTTGGTTTTTCTTGTGCTACATGGTGAATGTTTCACCTTCTTTTCAAAGTTTCAAGCTCTCTAACTGTTTCTTGCTTTGATATTAATTCTTACCCTTTTGTCCCTTTCATTGAAGTTTCACATTGGATTCTGCATCATTGCTGCTGTTGCACCCCCCATCCTTTTTAAGGGGAAATCTTTGACGTAAGTTGCTTCTTCACCCTCGAACTCAATAAGGTCACTCTTTGCAGCCATTTAGCTTTCTAGATTGTAAACCTCAATCTCTTCCCTCCCAAAAAAGTTATAAAGTTTCAAAAGTGTCTCCATAAAAGTCCTAGTTTTTCAAATTACTTTTCAATACTTCTCCACAAAATGTTACCTATAAGTTCAATATGATGCATTTAGTTAAATTTACTTGAACATAGAAATGCAAGTTAATGACTTTTAACAGTTCTTCTTTGTCAAAATTTAAAAGTTGGACCATAACTAAATTGGACTCATTTTCATTTGGACGGAGGGAATAGTATGCTTTTCACCTTGTCTTTTACTCGAGTTATGTGTCTTCAAGTTTGACATTTAACTTATTGTTCCTTTTGATCATCATCCTCCTGTTCACAGTGGTGTCTTGCCTGCAATTGAACTTTTAAGCGAGAATGCTCTGGTTGGGGTAAGTGCATCAAGACCTTCATTCTTGCCTGCAATTGAACTTCTCACTTTTCAGCCAGAATGCTCTGGTTTGAAGTTTGAGCTATAATATAAATACAGAAAATCACAAGCTGAAGCTTCATAAAATTTGGTAAAGAGCAGAGTTTTTAAGCGTTAGAACTGTACCATCATTTGAAGAAGAAAAAAAAAAGACTAGGGGACATATTTTCAGTATGTTCATTCTTCGTTGTCTTTTTTTACTGCAGATTTTTTACTTCATCGGATTCGGATTCTTCTGCACGGAGTCACTGGTGAGCGTATGGGTCATTCAGGTCAGGTTCAGATATTTCTTTATACGATTCCCTGCTTTTCATATCGATCATTCGCAAAGCCCTCAACGTGTAAATGTTTGATTAATCTTTTACAAATGGATGAGTATTTTTATATATGTGCAGCAAGTGTACATGTATTTCCGGGGAAGTGGCAAAGCTGCAGAGATGAGGAGAGAAGCCGCCAGACAAACAATGATGGCGACACTAACATGACACAACTCCATGTTCCTCGTATATAGCAAACTCCATTGTTCATCTCGGGTATGTAGGATAGACTTAAACATCTGCATCTGATTAATTGGCCTTTTCAAGTTCCTTTTCATTTCGAGTAGTAAAAGTGTGTTTACTATGCAAAGCTCTTAACGAGTTGCTTCACTTAGAAAATGTGATAAAGTTTACGTAAATGTAATGGACCTCGATTGGGTGCATGGGACTAGGGAGCGCCAAAAGTTTAGGGATATACCCTTATGACAGGGCCGGCCCAAGGGTGGGAGGCCAAGATGCCCTACCGGACCAGACCCGTTTTTCTCGGGAACCAACATTTTTAATTTTTTAATATATATGTTATATACTCCGTATTTTCTGATAGAAACTTTAAATACTTAACTTTAAGATAGCTATTACGATATTTAATTACTCTGTATAATACTACGGAGTACAATTTTGTTATGTGTATTACTATAGTATCAATGGTTATTGTTTTAAAGAAAATAATTTATATAATTTAATGTGTTAGGACTAATGTGTCCATTTTTTGGAGCCGGCCTTGCCCTATCGTTTCACATTATTGAAATTGTGTTTTGTAGACTTTTTGAGGTTAGTTTCGTGTTTTGATTAGTCCCCAACTTCCCATTAATTATTATATAATCTTCTTCTGTTCTTTTTTGTTGTTGCAAGGACCTAACGTTCACACTCTTGACACGGCCAAATAGCTCCGGTGCCCCCTGTGGTTTGGAAAATTGGCACCAATACTCCCTCTATTTTCAAAACTTATTTCTAAAGTCCTCGTGGTTTCAAAATGCTGCACCCGTGCCCCCTCTGATCATTTTCCGGCGAAGAGGGGCATTTGCGCATAATTTTTAAACCATAGGGGGTATTCGTGCTCATTTTTTATTTTTCGTTTATTATTTGTATTTTTCTTTTTTTAAATATTTTCTATCTCTTTTTGCTTTTCCTAGTTTTTTTCTAATTTATTTTCAATTTTTTTATAATGTTTTAAAATTTTAAAATTTTTTGTTTTTGAAATAAAAATAAAAATAAAAAAATTAACATACATTGCATCTATTTGAAATTAAACATTTTCACTTTTTGTTAGGTACTTGTTTGGAAAGTTCAAAAAGAAAAACCTAGAATAAAAAAATAAAAATATGGAAAAATAAAATGAAAAAAAAAAGTACACAAAAAAAGTCTGATACAAAAAATGGACAAGCCTAAAAAAGTCCTTAGAATTGAGATGTTCAAAAAAGATATTCATTTTTATTTTTCTATTATTTTGTTTCTTATTTTATTCGTCATTTTTTTGAAATTCTCCAAAAAAAAGTTTACTTTTTTCAGAAAAAACAAAAATTGTTGATTTGAGAAGTACATACACATTATATGTTAATTTTTTCAAACAAAAATAACTTTAAATTTTATGAGCATTTAAAAATAATTTTAAAAAACCTTTATTAATAAAAGTAACAAATAAAGGAAAAAATGAAAAAAAAAAACAAATAAACAAGCGAGAAATAAATATTAGCACCGATACCCCCTGTGGTTTAGTAAATATGCAGCAATGCCCCCCTTCTTCGCCGGAAAAATGGCCGGAAAATGATCAGAGGGGGCACGGGTGCAGCATTTTAAAACCACAAGGACTTTAGAAATAAGTTTTGAAAACAAAGATGGTTTTGTTGCCTATTTTGCAAACTACGGGGGTACTGGCACTATTTGGCCCTCTTGACACACTCCGGCTAGTTTGACTATACTTCGGGATGTAAAGTTTTTTCTTGGATTTTTTAAAAACGTCTTAAAAGATACTCCGTAACTCTATTTTTTTTGCTTATTTTATTTCCTTTTTTTTACATCATACAAGTAGTAATGAACACGTGTTATAACCATACGAGTATTTTTATTGTTAATATTTTAAATATTTTTAAATTGCTCAGTACATCTCTATATCAATTTTTGGTGACTTGTAGACTGAAGCGATAAATAACTAAATACTCCCTTCGTTTTTATTTGTCCTATTTATTATTTATAGAATCAAAATTTACTCTTGCTTATTTTTTCTTACCCATTATTTTTTTATTTTTTAATATATGAAATTATATCACTTTCTAAATAAATTGAAATAAAAACAAGTTATGTGTTCGTAAAAAAGGGATGGAGAAAGAAAACCGAGGGGGTCGGAGCAAATGTTGAAAATAGCAAGCCTTGCTCAATAATATGGATATCTCTATTATAATATACTATCCGTTCATAAATTGTCAATCTATTAAAACATACTCCGAATAAAGTTATTTCTCTTTCTATTCCTTCCCATTAGAGCAACTTAAGTACGGAGTACTACTCTTCCCTGTCTAAAACTATCCTCTTATTTATTCGTTAATTCGAATTTTATTCTCTTTGTTAATCTATTTTTGTTACTTGTTTGAAACTTTATCCGTCCCAATTTAAATCAATTGTTTCAATTTAGAATGTTTGACTGAAGTTATTTTCAAATCATTTTATATGAAAAATGATATAGAATTAAAAAATAAAAATTACATATTTAAAAAATTACATCAAAAGATCTACAGAACTTTTACACTATGTTTGGTTCATGGAATTTGGAAGGAAAAGAAAAGAAAATGGTTTTCCCTTAGTTTCCTCACCAAAATGGGAGGAATTTGGTTTTCCATCCTCTTAATACATTTTGTTTTCTCATTTTCTTTTCCTCTCACTTTTTTTTTCTTTTCCTCTCTAACCAAACAAGAAAAAAAGTTTTCCTTCTCATTTTCTTTTCCTTTCCCTCTCAAATTCCTTGAACCAAACATAGTGTTAGTGTTTAGGTAGTAGTGTATTTTTTTAATACACAAACTTTTAGAACTTTTATACGGAGTACAAAACTTTTAGACCGAACTTTTATACAAACTTTTAGTGCACTACACAAACTTTTTATTACTTTTTCTCCATTACTCCATATTTTTAAGTGTGTTTATAATAAGTTTTTTTGTACTCCTAGTATAAATTTTTATTGGTTTTAAGAGAAAAGAGCAAAATTGGGCCAAATTGGTAATTAATGTAACGTTGAGGACTGTGTACCAAGTGGCCATCTGTACAAAATGTCAACCCGCAGTAATTGCATTGCCGGCCCATTCAGCTCACACGTGTATGGCTATTACTTGCGGAAAAATATTTTTCTTTTTTTTTGCTGAACTATTTCACTTTGATTTTTTAATTCAAAAATAAAGAATCCACGTTACTGTATACATTATGTACCCATAAGTCCATAGCCCATCCCTAAAAAGAAGGCTGGGATGTGGGTGGGGATGCAATGCAGTTCTTCTACTTTCTTTTTTTTTTACAAAATATAATCTTTTTGATTTTTTCTTTTAAAAATGTATCTATTTTTATAAAGAAATAATTAAAAAAATTAAAATTAAAATAAGTCAAAAATGTAAAAAGTGATAAGTTATTATATGACATTGACATTCTATTCACTTGTCACATGCTGATTACGTTATTTTATATTCGTTGAAATGAATCATGTTATCGTCTGACATTTCATTTTTAACTCACTCCAAAAAAGATTCGTGTTGTTTTCCACCATAATTATTCCCAAAAAGTCTTAATTTGACTTTTATACTAACTTTGATCGTAAAATGCAAAAAAAAGTATTATTGTAGCTAATCGGCGAATGGGGGAGGGGGGTGCTGTGGTGGGGTGGCAATTCCGTCAAGACCGGATGCCAGTGTCTACGGATGACACTCAACCATTCAGAGTACCTATGATGTTCCGTTGCAAAATTGATGATTAATTCTTACCCTCTAATTCACTCGGTAAATTCCACACCCAATCCCAACAACCTTAACCCATCAAAGTTTATCCTAAAGTCAACTAAAACTTACAGAGTGCATTTGACGAGATGGAATGATGGGTTAGAGTCGGGACTTGGTGCAAGTTTATCGAGGCATTTGAGGGTATAAACAATTATCAATTTTGCGAACAAAACATATAGACAATCCGTTGACACTATTTGATTATAGTAATTTAACTTCATTAGAACACAACAACCTTAACTACTCTGTATCATTTAGATAGAGAAACCCTATATTTGATACTCCCTAAATTTTTTCAAGATGCTTAAACAAATGTCTTACGGACTCAAAATAAATCTTGACCGATAAACAAACTAAAGATTGTGACGTTATCTTTGCATGAAACAACTTAACTACTTAATTGGGTGTTTGACTGTTTGGTATTTTCTTTTTTTAAAAAGTCGGCCATTATCTATGGATAAACTACAATTTATGCTGGTATTGTTTTTACATTATAAAACTGTTTTGTACGTCCTATAAAACAAATACCCTACTGGCCCTCTCCGCAAATACGTAATACTCCGTATAAGTTTGTTGACTGCTGTTTTTGTAACAAAATTCTTCCGCCTTAAACAATTATCACAGTTTGACTTTTTTGATGAAATTGTGATACTTTTTAGCTACGAATTAAATATAGTTTAAATTAATCAAATATTATAAAATTTTGATATTTCATAATTATATTTTAAAATAAACCTGATTTTACTAAATATACATTATATCGAAATATACTTGTCCATAAATTGTGGTCAAATGATGCCATAGTTTGACCAAAAAAGTTAAACTATGACAACCTTTTAGAGACGAAGGTGTATCTAGCTAGCTAGAATCCGTTCATTTTCCCTGGTCTGTTTGGTACACGAAATTGACGAAATTAGAATTGAATTGGTAGTTGAAATTCTATGAAATTGATTTGGATGAAACTGAATTCTCCAATTTCAATTCTTTTGTGGCACTATCAATTCTAAATTCACATATTTTGATACTATCAAGCAGCAGAATTGCAATTATTGTTCTTAATTCCAATTTTATAGTTTGAATTTCATGTATCAAACAAAGCTTTAACTATAACTAGTGTTCAAATTTTTGTAATTTGAGTCTCAAATCAATCTTGATGCAGTAATACTCCCTCTGTCCCCCTAAGATGTTCTCATTTTGACTTTTGATAGTTTTTAAGGAGAGTTGAAAAAAGGTGAAAGTTTACCATAATACCCTTAATGAAAAATGGGTGGAGTGTATTAAATGAGGTGGGTGAAGTGTAATAAATAAAGTAAGTGGGGGTAGTTGTGGTATTTTAATTGTTAAAACATGAAATGAGAAGATCTATTGTGGACAAAGAAAAAGGGCTATTGGGAAGATCTATGAGGGACCGAGGGAGTAGTTTTTAACTTAAAAAGCTGATTATTCGATTATGGAATTTAAAGTCTAAAGTCTGATTACTTGAGACTAGGTGACCTTTTTTAGTAAGATATTTTTTTCTTCAAATCAGTCTTCAGTTAGATATATATAATTATATACTCCCTCCGTCCACATTTAAAGTTCCCGCTTTGACCCGACACGGAGTTTAATAAAAGTAAAAATTTACATTGACTTTCCCAAAATATCCCTCAACCCTACCCACGCCCCCACCAGACTCCCGAGGCCTAACGCTACCCACGCCCCCACCGCCAAGGCCTGTCCCAAATTCCTGCAGTCCAACCCCGTCGTTCGAGAGAGAAATTCCAGCGATCGAATTCCGGCGAATTTATGGCCAGTGTAAAATTCCGGCGACTCGAAGAAGGTGAAAAAGATTTGAATCGGATTTCTTCATCGACCCCGAAGAAGATGAAGATGAAAAAGATCTGAAGACAATGCTTCGTCGATTCACAGATCTGAATCGGTTTTCTCAGATCTACGACGAGGAAGAAGAATAGAAAGAATAAATCGAAAGGGGGAAGAAGAGGAAGAAGAAAAAGTAGTAGAAGAAGAAGAACATAAATGAAAAATCGAAAGGGGGAAGAAGAAGAAGAAAGGAAAAATCTAAAGAGGAAGAAGAACGAAAAGTAAGAAAAAATCAGAAGGGGAAGAAGAGAGAGAGAGGAGAGAGAGAGAGAAAGAGAGTGAGTGAGAAGGAAAGAAGAACAGAAAAGAAGAAAAAGGAATCCGAAGTGTGAAGCACTGTGAACGGGAAAAAGGAAAAAAAAAAGAAAGAAAAAAGGGAGAGGAGAGGAAAGGAGAGAGGAAAAGTAAAAGATAACAAGGGCAATTGAGTCTTTTTAATAAAAGAAAGTTGTCAAAAATGGAAATGGGAACTTTAATTGTGGACATCCAAAAAAGGAAAGCGAGAACTTTAATTATGGACGGAGGGAGTAAATGATACGGAGTATTTTATAATTTTTAATTTTCGCGTCAAGTCAAACTAGAAAATAAATTTTTGAAGGGAGAGTACAAAATTGCCGAAGATCCTTATCATCTAGCGAGACTAATTTTGGAGTAAGCATGTGTTTGGATGGGGGGATTTTGGAAGGAAAGAAAAGTGGAGGGAGGAAAACACAAGTTTCTAGAACTTTTCTCTTGTTTGTTTGCAATAGAAAATGGGGAGAGAAGAGAAAAAGAGTGGAAAAGAGCCTTAAAAAATTTTCTCTTCACTTTTGAAGAGAAAATGCACACATGGAGAGAAAATGCATGAAATGACATGTTTGCCCTTTGCCTCTTTTCTAATTTACGAAATACACCTTTTTTCTTTAACTTTTTTGTTGCTTTATGATAAGGGCATTAATGTCTTTTGGCTTAATCATGTTTTCTTTCCTCTTCTCGTTTTCTCTTCTTTATTACCTATCCAAACAAGAATTATTTTCTTTTCATTTTCTCTCCAATTTCTTTCCTCTCATTTTCTTTCATTTCATTTTCTTTCCTCTCATTTTCCTTTCAAATCCAAACAAAGCCTAAGGAATAAGAGTTGACCAAGCAATTGATCAATCGGGTTTTCTTTTATGAGAAAAAAAAAAGAGAGATTACAATAATTGGTTAGTAAAAATAAAAGTCAAATGGCTAATAGGCTCAACCGCCCCCCTGCTGGGATTTTAATTCCCCTTTTGAAACTTACTTTTGTGTCCCCATTCGTCCCCTATAAATAACCTCTCCATCCCCCCCCCACTAACTCCTCGCAATAATTCCATTTCTTTTCAAAAGTAAATAAATTCAGCAAAATAAAAAGAAAAATCCGATAATAATGGTGTGCTTCTGCTTTCTGGTCGATCAGACGAGGGAGGTGCGGCGGAGCAAGCCGGCGGCGGGGACGTGCTCCCGGTGCGGCGGCGGCGCTAGCGTCGCCGACATGAAGACCGCCACGCGCTTCTGCTACGTCCCTTTCTACTCCAAGAACTGGAAGGCCATTGTCTGCACATTTTGTGGTGCCGTCCTCAGGTCTTACCACTAGGCTAAGGCTACTACCATTTTTTTATTTAATTAATTAAAATACGGATTATTATTACGATATTTTTAATCCGTATTTCAATTAATTATTATACTAATTAATATCGTTGTATTAAATTATTATTAATACACACTAACAATGTTCACATTCACTATCCATGCTGGCAGAGCATATATGTGTATGTATAATTGTTCTGCAAATTTTGTCACATATATGATATTCAATGCATAAATAATATACATTTTGTGCTTTGGAATAAACATTGATATGTACATGAAAGACATTATATATACTCCGTATAATGTTATGTGTACATTTTGGCACATCTCATAATTATTACTCCCTCCGTCCTATAATGATCTTTCCAGAGCACTATTCCAACTTCACGGGAATTTATATTTATTTGTGTTTTTTATGGCCTATATGATAAAATAAAATATTTTTATCACCACTTGTTTTGTTGAACTTTTGGTGTAGTTTTTAAATATGTATGTTTTATTTTTTATTTCTATACCAATATTTAAATAAAATAGATTGAAAAAACTTGGGATTTTTCTTCGTTTTGCGAACCGGGAAGATCATTATAGGACGGAGGGAGTACTAGTACAATTTGTACCAGGGAGTACAATTGTTATCTGATCTTTGTAATTCCAATTTCCATCTATTCTTAATTATTTATGATTTTTTAGGTAAACCCAAAAATTTGTATGAATATTGACATAAATAATGTCTATATTCAGTCAAATTTCGATGTACCGAGTATTTTAAAAATTATAATGATCAATTAGTTAAGGAATGAAGAATGTACAGCTATAAGATGGCAGTTTACATGTTCTACCTAAGCAGGCAAACTCAAAACGTATGAGTAGTATATTACGGAGTAATGTATTATTGGGTTCGTTGGTTACACAATAATAATAAGAAGTATAATAAAATAATATACGAGTACACCGTAATAATAATAATACGGAGTAATAATAATCTAAAAAATACGGAGTATATATAAATTAAGTAAATTTATTAGAATTTTACACATACAGAGACAAAAATCAAGACACATCAATGTTATATTCAAACAATAGGAGTATGGAAATACATGTCACAATTTCACATTGAATACGGGCAGCAAAATAACAGCTATATATATGTGTTTACATACAGATACAAATATATAATTCCTACTATACCCATGATGTGCACATTGTTGGCAGTGCATGTGGTGGCTATATATCTACCACTAGATGTATCCAAATTAAATTAATGCATTTTTCCCGGTCATTATTCAAATGATGACAGGAAAGGCCCAACATTTGTGGAGATTTTCAGCTTATTCCAAGGAAAATGTTTGGAAAACCCCACATAAGGTACATCTATTGAAATTTTGACTCATGTCGAGACAACTTGGATGTAAATTCGGTAGGGAGGGTTCAAAAAATTATTTTTCAAAAAATAATTATAGACATATATTATTCAAAGTGAGACGAGTATTTCGATATATTACGCGCCAAAATTGGTGCTCGGGTGAATGAGAAATATAATTAATTCACAAAGTCGAACACTAGGAAGGGATAAAACTCATGTATGCCACATCGGATTTGAGACCCTTCAACTTTCTCTATTTATAAATAGCATTGCAAAGCAATTTATGGAGCGAGAACCAAGGGAGCCCTCGCGCACCACCGTCGCCGTCGTCTGCCCGGCGCTGCACGAAACGACATGATGCGCGCGCAAATGCGTGTTGGCGTGTGTGCGTCATGACGTGGCGAGGGCGTGGATCGAACCCTTACATTTTTACGAGACAAAATTAAACACGTGTTGACTTCGTTAATAACGAAGTGTTGGCATGCATGCACCATTGAAGAGACTTTGTGACCCTTCGGTTTGTCTGCCTAGTCCGTCCCTTTGAGTCTCTCCCCTCATATATAAGGAGGGTGAGTTCACAGTAGATACTCACTCGAAGAATTACCTTGCATGTTAGCGCTTTTATCCTGGGAGGGGATCGTCCACGTTAGCCAGTGCGGAGGCAGGCGATACTATCTTAAAGAAAGCTCCGGCGGCTCTGCATTCCTTCCTTCTTCGTTCAGTTTCCGACCACCGACAATCTATTCTTTTATTTTTTTTCTCACTGTAAAATTCGAACATATTATAAATTTGAATTATTTTATTTTATTTTCCTTGCTGTAATATTTGAATCAGACAACAACATCAAGTGTACATCAAGACAAAAACAAGCTCACACTGCACGGACACTTAATATCTGCACACGCAGACATTGAATGTTTGTGTGTGTCTATTTTTGTCTTAGTGTACATTTGGTATACACCAAGTGGTGTTTCCTTAGCACTCTAGTTATTCCAAATTTTGGCTTTTGTCAAGACTAACTAAGATAAAGACTCTGTATCGCAACATGCAACGTTACTAGTTTGAAAAGCTATCTAACGGTATGCAGCTTTTAACATTAACATTTATAAAATAAATTTATACCATTAAATTTTTATCTAAAACACAAAGGCTAATAAAAAACCATGTTCCCTAGCAAAACTTAATCGTATTACGGTTTTAAAAAAACTAATTGTACTAACCATAATATAAAGAGTCATACTCTTTCAACGGCAAAAGCGGTTACGAATTTTGTTTTTAAGCACCTTTCAAAATGCTTCATACCTATTAAATATAGGTATTCTTCTTCTTGCAGTTCCAATGTGGTACTTTAGTCCATACCCAACACATACAACTTCTGATTTAAGTTTTTTAGCAAAACTAATAAAAATACAAGTCAAAGGTTGAAAAAGTGATTAAAAAAATCAAAACTAAACAAATACTGAGGGACGAAAGTAGTACTTTCTCCGTTCTCAAAAACACTTTCTCTTTCATTTTTTTCACTTCCAACAAAACACTTTCACTTTCTATTAAAAAGCCACTTTTTAAATAATCTATCACATCATACTTTATCTCTAATAATCTATCCATCACATCTTACTTTTACCTATCACATCAAGGGCAAAATTGGAAGTCAACTATAATTTAATACTCCCTCCGTCCCCCATAGATCTTCCCAATAGCTCTTTTTCTTTGTCCACAATAGATCTTCTCATTTCATTTTTTAACAATTAAAATATCACAACTACCCACACTTACTTTATTTATTACACCTCACACACCTCATTTAATACACTTCACCCATTTTCATTAAGGGTATTATGGTAAACTTTTACCTTTTTTCAACTCTCCTTAAAAACCACCAAAAGTCAAAATGAGAACATCTTAGGGGAGACGGAGAGAGTACTTCCTTATTTTTACATCAAGTCAAAAGAGGAACACTTTTTCCAAACGGAGAGAGTATGAAATAAGAAGTACGATTTCCAAAAAAATATACTTGGTATATTCCTTAAGGAGTGAGAATGTGCAAATCTTATTCAAAAGAGTTCAATTTTGTTTTGATTATACGCATATAATTTAAAAATAAACTTATATGTATAAAAATTGCATCAAATAATTAACAAAATATATATGAAATACCTATATTACTTTATAAAATAAGAAAATAATAATTGAAAAAAAAATTAGAAATAGAAATAATGAGGAAAGATATACTCCGTATTATTCGACGGTTACGTTGAATGAGCCAACGGTTAGGTTTTAGTCACATTGGGACTTTCTTATCAACTTGTTTAACATTTCCCAGCAATTTCGGAGTAATTGCGAATGAACCCCTGATTTGTTGATAATTACCATGTCATATTCATGAGGGTAGGTGCAAGAATTGAAGACAGAATTTGAAACCTAGTTCAGTTGAAATCCACTTGTTCTTTTATTATTGCTTAGTGACTAAGCAATTGGAAATGCCAAAATATTTGAGCTACCCTATGTACTTCAATCTTCATTTATTTCAAATTGGTGAATGACTACTAACAATATGTTTTGACTTATAATTGGGCTCTACAACATTTGGCCATGCATACATTGGGTAGTCTTTTTGTTACTTCTGTCCATTTTTATTTAAAGACCAATGTTTTGACATTATCAAAGAGTATCAAAGTTTTTACTTCTAAACTATTTAAAAATTGCACGCATTCTTCGTTAATTTTAAAAATTGTACCAATAATCTTTGAATTGTTATAGATATTACATTTATGGTATTTCTGCGTCAGATTTGGAAATACGAAAATTACACGCTCATCTAATTTAAGCGTGAATTCATCTAAATTCATATTTCACACGTGAATTTTATAATTTTTCCTCAAACATTACTTTCTATATTTTATATCTCTTGAAAGTTTGGATACATATATATATTCACACTTTAGTCATCGCTAACTGAATTCAGGGCCGGTCCGAGGGTGGGCCGAGCAGCCCTACCAAACTAGGCTCAATATTTTAAGGGCCCTTATTTATATATATACTCCATTCGTTTCTAAAAAGGGTTTCAATTTTGACTAATGGGTGAAATAAAGATTGTGTATTTGTAATTGATTTTCCAATTTTACACTTGATGTGATGGATAAAAGTAAGATGTGATATGTAGATTATTAGTAAAAATGTATGATGTGATAGACGTGATAAAGAAAAGTATGGATAAATGTGATTTTTTAATAAAAAGTTAAAAGTGTTTTAGTAAAGTGAAAAAAATAAAATAGAAAATGTTTTGAAAATCAGAGGGAGTATAAAATTGTTGAGCCCAATCTTCTAAAGTGTACAATGGGTGTAGAACGTGAGTATTTCAAGATGATAAGAGATGCTCCATCCACTTGCAATACTAAGCTTGCTATTACATAAATCACAAAATATGATATGAACGTACTGTTGAGTTTATTAAAACTTCCCATTATTTAGAAAAAAACACAAATAGTATCTCATATACTTGTTTTATGAGGTTATAAGAATATGGCACGATTAATAATATTCTAAATCTGGCACAAAAGAATAATTGATGTAACATTTTTATAGAATTTAGCGATCACTATACAATTTTTAAAGGTGGAGTTTGTAAATATATTTAATAATTCAAGTGTAAATAATGCAAAAAAAAAACTCAAAACTTATCATATCATAGTGTGTCATTCGACTCATTTAGACATTGATAGTGCTCTATTCTACCCTCATATGGTTCATATTTCATCTAATTAACCTCTCCTACAAATCTCCACCCCACTCTACGTCACCTATCCAACCTCTTAGCTTATCTCCAATTGGAGTGACAATCTTATATCAATAGTTTGATCGTGGATTGTCACACTAATTGAGAATGAGCTAGAGGGTGAAGTTAGGGGACTTCGGGATTAAACGAAAAACAGGTGCGGACTTGGGCCCAGGGTGTTCAACCGCACATGGACCAAAAAAAAATAAGGGCCCAATATTTCTAAAGTTAGTAGTATTAATGTAATATGAAGCCCAAAAAAGAAACACAGTCCAATCCCAGCCGCAAACTGGAACGCGCGGAAGACCGTAGGGCGAAGACGGGAGGAAGACGACTCGCCGCATCTTCACTGCTGCCGGCTGCCAGCCTGACGGCGACGCCGCCCATCACTCCCGCATTCACTTCAGTCTTCCGGTATGATTGTATGATTTAGTATTTTATTTTAATGATCAAATCCCTAATTTTATTTGTCTCTTAAATTTTAATTGTCCGATTTGTGTTTTCTTCTTCTTAAAATACTTGCAGCAGGCGGCCCCTGTTCAGGTCCCCATCTTGACCCACACCCCCTTTATTTTTTTAATTTTAATTTATTCTTTCTCCCTGTTTTCCACTATTAGGGTTTAGGTCCAATTCGTCGCTTTCACGATTCTTCTCTCTTCTTAACGGGCCACTGCCGTCTTTGCTTCTCTAAGCTCGCCGAGAGCTGTCGGTCTCTGGGAGAAAGCACAGTAGCAGACTCGTTTTATACGCCTTTCATCTTGTCTCATAAAACCCACAGGTTCCCCATGATGTCTTCTCTTCAAACTTCATCTTCTACTCTTATATCTTTACTTGTCAAAGTATTTTAAGAATATAGTTTTGATGTTTTATCTAAAAAAATATGAACAGTTTTGAATATTTTAAAAATTTGATTGTTTGTATTCGCTACTTTGTCATATGGCACATGCCTTTGGATTGCTAGTTGGTAATTAATCATGAATTTTACATTATGATTCTATTTTCAGTGTGTTTTGTTACTTCTTTATTAGTTCCTGTAATTTTTAAAGATGCCATTTTTCGTCCACATCCTTGTTCTTGCATATGCTATTGGACCTGTCACTTAGTTTATTATTGACTCTTTGATACCCATACTCTATTTTACTATACCATGGAGTTTGCTTTGAATGCAGATGGTGAATTCAGCTGCAAGTGAATTCGGCTGTGATGGAGTTTGTGAACTGGTAGAACATCTGGAGGGAAAAGAAAATACGAGTTCAATGAGCTGTCCCGAAGCTGAAAATAGTGGGGATGTGATTTGTTACAAGGGAGCAGAAATGGGTAGTGGTGAGGAAGTTAAAGTTAAGGAGGAGGTAGTGGCTTGTAGTGAATATGTGACGGTGGGAGAGTTGGGTTGTTTGATTGAGAAGGAGTTGGAAAATGTTAATTTAAATGGTGCATTTTCTGTGAAGGAGGAAGCTCAAGTTATGAGTAGTGAGGACATCGATGGTGTAAAGAGTAGTGCGGGCGATCATTATGCAAAAATCACTACGACGGGTAATGGAAATGAGGAAGGAGTAACGAGTCATGAAGTAGGGATTGGTAAAGATGAGAGCTCTTCTGATTCTGAGTCTGAGTCTGAGTCTGATGCCTCGTCTTCTTCATCTTCCTCTGCATCCAGTAGTGATGATGATAACGAAGATGACGATGACCTTGAGGATAATGAAGGATGTAATATCAATAGAAAGGATACAGACATTGAAGAAGGTGAGATCTTAGCGTGCGGTGCAGATGATATGGTTGCTTGGAGTGATGATGGTGATGATGGTGTGGAGGGAAGTGGTCCTAAGGGACCAATAAGGTCTAAGAATGAGCTGCAGGTAATACTTTATTTTTGCATTTCTATCGCTATTATGAGTTTATAAGTGTCTACTCATGTTTCCCAATAATTGAGCATTTGCCTCTAACTAACTCATGCCTAAGGGGATTTTAACCTAATTTTCTGTGTGGTGCTAAGATGTGAAGAGGCTATAAATAGATGGCTTTAGACTCTGGTTGAAACAATAAGGTCAATCAACAAGCTACCCTCACCACCCCCAAGTACTCATAATTTCAAAACATTAGATATGACATACCCTGCCCCTAAATAAAGCACATAATTTTGTTTCTCATCTGCCCCAAAGTAATCACTCATTTTCTTTCAAGGAAAGTAATATGTGGTTCACATGATCTTTTTCCCTTCTTAATAAATTTCGACCATACTTTTTGACTTTTTAAAAATGTGTGCCTAGTCAAACATGACACTAAATAAGGGACGGAGGGAGTTATATATAATGAACGCACAATAATCACACTTTAGTTGACCTCTTAATGATACACTTAGTTAAATGACCAAATTAGTTGTGAAGATTTCAAGTTATTGATGTACCTAGTTAAAGGACCAAGTTGTGAATTACTGGAAGATTTTGCGCTTTGACGGAGCTCGCTCCTCAGTAATATCTTGAGAAAATCAAGCAGTCATTGACCGGTGGAAAATCGGTTTGGATTTGAGCTTAGCTACTAAGCTCTAAAGAGGTGGGTGGTCATTGAACTATTTTGGTAGTGTTCACAGATTTCATTTCCACCAAATCTTATCTGTGAAACTTATTGAATAACAATAAAAAGACAGAACTTCTAGGATCCCATATGTGGAACTTCCAAGAAACTATATTACTTAAAGAAATATCACACATTGTTGTTGCATAATAAACCGTCAAAGTGGTTTTGTAAATAAGAATTACATTGAATTCAGAGTCAACTATGCTTCTTTTATACTGGTCTATAATCTCCTCTAGTCTTTGTTTCTAGAGATTAGAGAATATTCAATACAATAACTTCATGATGTTTTGCTAGATGTAAAAATCCTGTCTTTGTATGTGTTTTGCAGGAACTCCCTTTTGTTCCGCCTGTCAATGTGACTATACAACCCCATCACCAGACCCTTCCTGTTGGAAGCATTTCTTCAGTAAGGCCATGGGGGAACCAATAAAACAAAATTACTATGCTATGATTGATTGATTAATTAAAAAAGTAGTTCTCCTTGTCATTTACGCCGTGTATGATGCAGATACTTGGTGCTCAAGTCATAGTCGAAGGCATGGAGAAGCACAACCCTCTTAACGAGGGTTCGATTCTATGGATAACCGAAACCCGAACCCCGCTTGGGATAGTGGACGAAATATTTGGGCCCGTGAAGAACCCTTACTACATTGTAAGGTACAATTCAGAAGACGAAGTGCCCGACGGGATCCAACAAGGAACCCTGGTTTCTTTTGTTCAGGAATTTGCACATCACGTCCTCAACGACAAGAATATTTACAAAAAGGGATACGATGCGTCCGGGGAGAACGACGAGGAGCTATCCGACGAGGGAGAATTCTCGGACGACGAGAAAGAAGCCGAATACAAGCAGATGATGAAAATGAAAAAGAGGGGTGGGCCCACTGAACAGAGATTTGGGGGGAACACAACTATGGACAAGAAGGTAAGAAACCGACCGGCGGTGTATCAAAAACAAAACCAAACAACAGCTGGTGGCCAGCCAGCACAAGGTTCTTCATTGGCTCATCAGCCGGCACAGTTTCACGGTGGTGGGGCCCCATCAAGTGGCGGAGGAATGCCATGTCAGCAGCAGCCACAGAACAGTTGGTCTCCTTCTTTCCCTATGATGCAACCGCCGCATCAGCAGATGATGATGATGTCATTCCCGGCTATGAACATGCATTGGGGGGGCCCACAGAACCACCCGCAGCTGATGTTCAACATGCCTATGGGAAATGCACAAGGTAATCCTGCTGGTCCATTGTTTCCTGCTAACTTTATGGTTTCCGGTGGACAGCCGGGTTTTGGGATGTTCAACCCACAACAGTCACTTGGGCAAAGCTTACCCATGGTGAATCATGGCCAACAGATGCTACCTCCCAATGCACCTCAAAGTGGGTCTCCATTTGGTCAAGTATTGCCCATGATGAATTTGGGCCAACAAATGGAGCCTCCAAATGCACCTCAGATTGGAACCAGTGATGATTCTTGGCCGCCGCCTGAGAGTCACCGGAGTTCTGATCAGCCAAGGAGCTTTCGCGGTGGCCGGCAAACAAATCACAGGGGCGGTGGCCGTTTTAGAGGCGGGAGAGGCAGACCACAGAACAACTGACCCCAGAGGTGTTTATTACTCTACTTGTATTGTTATTTGAATTTTTAAATTTCAAAAGCCCATCAAACCATCAAAAACATGTGAAAACTTTTACTCTAGTTTTAACTTGTAAGCCAAAAAAAAACACATGGGAAACATGAGTATTTCATTGTTATCAGTTATCACGGAATTGTCAGTCAGCAGTTGTTCGCAGAGTAATGCACAGACTATTGATGACGTCATAATTCATTTATTTTGTGGATTTAAAGTAACGATGCTTACTCAACATCAAAAGTTTTTTTACTATAGTTTTCATAACCAAATCGGCAACTGAATCGGTGAAAGTACCGGTTAATTGATCGAATCAGTAGTTCAAGTGATCGAATGGGGTTTAAGGTCCGAATCTTGTTTACATTTTTGGCCAATTTTTTGAAAAAGAATATATTAAATTAGCCAATTTTTATCGACTTGTTTATTATCAACTGATTCCCAATTCGGACCACCTAGTATAGTCTCATTTTCAAAAGAAAAATGCTAGGGGTACACCAAACCACATAACCACCCCATTTGTCCCTCACCCCTCTATAACCACATAATTGGGCAAGAAAATTAAAAATGAATAAATAAATAAAAATCAGTGGTGGAGAAGTGGGTGGTGTACATTTGGGGTACACCTTTGGTGTACCCCTAGCATTGCTCCTTTGATGTATAAATTAAGTGACTGTATCGGTCTAAAAAAGAATACTACACTTAACTATTAAAAAATAAGTAGAATCTTTTTATTTGTTCATTTTCATTGAATAATTAATTAAATAAAATATTTTTGTCATATCTTGTTTTGTAGAATTTTTGACATACTTTTTTAATACTCAAATATTTATTTTTATTTATATATCAATCTTTATATAAAATGAATTGAAATTTTTTTAAAATTTCACTTTGTTTTGCGTAGTGTGACATTCTTTTTGGGACAGAATGAGTAAATGTTATAAATACTTTTTTTTATAAGAATGTTATAAATACTTGATATATCAAAGTTACTGTCTTAAAATGGAAATGCGCTATTATGCTCTTAATGTCAACATGTGAATTATAAAGTTTCTCATATATTTTTTCATGAGCTCATAGGTGGATCTTTATGTTTTTACAAGACCCACTAAAATTTAATCATTTTATGTAGTAAAGTCAATACAATAAGCATAGATCTAAGAATCACGAAAACATTTGTATTTAAAATGATACTCCGTATAAAGTAAGTTAACTTAGCTGTAAAAAAAGTACTCCGTAAGTTAACGTATGAAAGTAAGTTAACCTGACTTTTTTTCCCATCAAAGAGGTATCTAAACTTTAGATGTTGTAACAAAAAGATACTTCATCTTATGTTTGTGGAAATTGTCATATTTCGGGGACAGAATGATGAGTTGGAATCCTATGTGACTTTTTTATGCTTAGTTGTATTCTATCTCTCTATTTTTTTAATAACCCTCCCTAATTCTCTCAACTAGTGATGAGGAGTTGTATATTGATTTTGAAGATGATGATAAAAGCAGACCAAAGCTCCCATATTTTCATGACAAGTTCATCTTAAACCCTCATTTTGAGCTTGGGCACTTGTTAGTTTTTAGAATTAGATCTTGGAAATTTTATTATGCATGTTTAATTTAATTTAAATAAATCTTATATGATCATTTGACATTGATAACATAAATACATCATCTTAAAGGGGAATAGGTTTTTTATTTATTATTGAACATAAAAAAACTAAGTAAAAAAATTATTATGAAGAAAAGGTACAATTGACATGTAGGAGAGAGAAAAGCCATGTAGGATGCCAATTCATCATCGCGTCGCCGGAATGTGACAATTTCCGGCTAGGGGTATGAGTTGTTTGTACTCCCTCTGTCCCAAAAAATATTTTTCATTTTGATATTTTTCGGTCAAACAATGACACTCTTTGACCACAAATTAACATAAACTAAATAAAAAAATGTTATAAAGATTTGATATATCAAAACTATATCCTAAAATGAATCCAATTATATTAAATTTATATTATAATTCAATATGTTTTTTTCTCACAACTTGTAGTCAAAGCGTATCATTTATTTGACCAGAAAAGTTAAAATGAGAAGTATTTTCTGGGACGGAGAGAGTAATATTTTAAGATGTGGTATGATTTTGTTGCAAACATAAGATGTACGGAGTAGTATCTTTTTGTTACTCCCTCCGTCCTAAAACATTTTTCCACATTACTATTCACAAGGTCAAACATTAATCATTTTATTAACCTATTTTCGTTAGTTATTCACTTATTTGATGAAATAAAATAGTCTTGTCGCCTCTTATTTTGCAAAACTTTTGATTTAATTTTTAAATATATAAATTTTATATTTTAATTTTACAACTACAATCAAATAAATTAATTTAAAAATAAAGTAGACCAAACCTCGTAAACAGAAACAGAAAGAATGTTTTAAAAAGGATGGAATGCAACATTTAAAGTTGAAGTAACTCGGGTGAAAATAAGACCAAGTAATTTTACTGTTTATTTAGTTGAGAGATGTATGAAAGTACAAATAAGACTTTCGCATATAAGAAGTAACAATAGGGACTTGGGATGACAATTGACGAATTGAATACGGAGTACTCTTTGCTACGGAGTAGTACTACTGTAAAATGGATTCTCCAGTACCAATTTTTTTTTTTTTTGTTTTTTTGAAAACCAAATATATGAGATATTATTGAAATTGATATTTATGTATTTATTTTTACCTTGATTGTATTGTGCCTCCATATTTTTCTTTACAAAATATACAGTGAAGTGTTATAAATCTTGTGCTCCAGCGATATAGAGGTCAATAAGTTTGAACTTCCGTAAAAAGAATTAAACTACGATTAAAATATTGAAAAAATATTTAAATAGACAAATTCTTTCATGAAACCAAAGTCTATGTTAATTTTATGGGTACTAGTGCATTTATACCATAAAAGAATTGTGTCTTTTACACACAAAAATATTCACATGCAAGTTCATGAAAAAGATGAGAAGGTTCACAATCTAAATATGGACATTGGAACTATATAGGCATCACTCATCAGAATAAGAATTCTATATTTTTATTCCTAAAATAAATATTACTATGTTAAAAATGTTAACATACTCCCTCCGTTTCTAAATTAATGATTTACACACTTTACTGTTAAAAAATCACAAGAACTTATGTTTATTTGTTTGTTTTCATTGACTATTTGATAAAATATTTTTTTGTCACCTTTTATTATGTAGAACTTCTGTTGTACTTTTTGAATATGTAACTTTTTTTATTTATATATCAATCTTTAAATAAAATAAATTGAAAAAACTTGAGATTTTACTTCGATTTGCGTAAAGAGTAAATGATTTAGGGATGGATGGAGTATAATACTAAAAAATATTGTGGAATGTAAATGAGAAATGCTTGGTTTATAAACAAAATTGTCGCAAACTTACTATTTGTAAACTTCAATAAAAAAATTAAAAAAATACAAGATGTAAATATAAAAAAAATTATGACACTGTAAATATAAAAAATTTTATGACACTATAAGTATAAAAATTAAAAAAAAAACTTCAATAAAAAAATAAAAAAATTTAAAAAAATATTTGTGAACCTAGCATTGCTCAATGTAAATATACAAGATGACATTATGACACTGTAAATTCATATTTTGAGATTAAAAAAATGAAATACTTATTTTAATATTGTATCTTATCTTTTACACTTTATTTGTAATCTAACCTTTGGACCAAAAAATCCCAAAAATCTAAATACAGTTGTTTAATCAATCATTTATTTCAAAAATTTCCCCATGTCAAACAGCTCATACTCGATCGTATCATTCTTTTTCAAATTTGATTATTTGACCGTGGAGCAAAAAAAATGTACAGACTGTCATATACTCATATTTGCTTTTTTTCCCTTCAAAATAATCCGTAAATCAATAAAATCATAGCCTTAGAGCAACTCCAAGAGGTAGGAGCTGTTTGGCAACTTCTGAATGGGCAAGTGCTGAACCAGTAAGAAGTCTGAACCATTAAGTGCTGAACCAGTAAGAGGTTTGAATCATTAAGAGCTAGTATATTGTTTAACTATTCAGAGGCAAATGTCTCATCAATTCAGATAAGAGGTCTTAACCATTCAGACTTTGTATAATACTTAACCATTCAGAGGCAAATCTCTTAACCATTCAGACATCTGAACCATTAAGTGCTGAACCATTCAGATATCTGAACCATTAAGAGGCTGAAACAAACAGCCTCGTAGTCTATATTGTAAAATATACACTATATACAATTTAATGTTGCCTTTTCAACACTCCAATGGATAGGATAAACCAATTGGTAAAATGCAATGTAGTGTAAAAAGCATTCTCCAAAGTGTATTTTTACAAGTTCACTATAGATAGTGGAAAGAATAAAAAATTATTTTTCTTCATTTTTTTCCTTCCCTCTTCTCCATTTTCATATGTACAAGGTATTTATTATGTCTTTTTTTAAAAATCATTAAAAATAAGTAACTTAAAACAAAAAAATATTATAAAAAGTATATTATATAGAAGATATGGTTGGAGTAAGTATAAAAAATGGAAATGTAAAACACTATTGATAGTGTAAAATGAAGTTTACACTACCAATTTTTACACTACACCTTGGAGATGCTCTTAGGGCACTGAAAATACCCATGAAGCCCCGGGGCTTCAAACCGGCTCTCTCTGCCACGTCGGATTTAACTTATCTCACAGTTTCAGTGGAAATGGGTTTGAAGCCCCGGGGCTTCAAACTGAGGCTTCAAACTTTCATTTTTTACATTTTAAATACATATCTTCTAAAATTAAATTAATAAAATTTAACTATTTAATTATTTAAAAGAATTGAAACGATAATAGTTCATTAAAAAAATACATTCATTATAAAAAATTACATTCATTAAATAAAAAATTAAATTCATTAAATAAAAAAAATTACATTCATTAAATATAAAAGATTACATTCATTATAAAAACTATATTCATTAAATAAAAAATTACATACATTGTAAAAAACTACATTCATTAAATAAAAAAATTAAGTTCATTAAATAAAAAAATTACATTCATGAAAAAATAAAAAATACTTGAATAATAGTTTTTTAAAAAAAGATGATAGATATAGAGAAATTTGTATTTGTGTTGAATTTTAAAAAAATTAATTTAACTTATAGAGAAGAAAAGAGGAAAAAAGAGGGGGGAAAAGAAAAAGAAGGCGTCAAAATGCCTTCAAATTGCGTCAAACATATGACGCAGAAGTTTTAACGCGGCTATAACTAACGGGGGAGGGGGCGGTGTTTAACGCCCCCCAGGCGTCAAATGCCTCGTAACGCCGGTGGGCGTTAGAGGTAGTTCCACTGCTCTTAGCCCATACATTTTAGCTCTTTGTTAGAAAAATTAATTCTTTTTTTTAAAAAAAATTATATCCGTCCTCGAAAAATCTTCATGTTTTAGTTTATGATTTTTGCAAGACTATTGTTTTTATTCAACTTGTCAGATATTGTAACGCCCTGTCTCTTATAGATTTTTTCAAATATTATTTTACAATTTGATAATAATTGATTTTATTGAACCGTAAAAATTACTCCTACATCATTATACTTTGTATATAGAAAATAAATGAACAATTCTAATTAAAATAGAAAAAATAATTATAATAATAATTAAATAAAATAAGTAATAATAACAATATTTTATTTTATATTATCTATATTATTTCTAATACTACGTAATATTTAATATAACTACTACTACCTATTTAATTCATAATCAAAGTTTATTGAGTTTGACTTAAAAATAATTTCTTAGGTATTTTTTCCTCCGCACTTAGAGCCTGTTTTTTAGGGCTTGAACTATTAACTTCCAGTTTCCTCCAGTTCTTCCAGTTTTTTCCAGTTTCTTCCAGTTTCTTCCAGTTCTTCCAGTTCCTTCCAGTTTCTTCCAGTTCTTTCCAGTTTCTTCAAGTTTCTTTCAGTTTATTCCAGTTTCTTCCAACTTTTCTCATTTTCTTCAAATTCTTTTTACTCCTCAACTAATTACTCTAAAAATGATATATTTCATGTGATTATTATTATTATTATTATTATTATTATTATTACAACTGTTATATTCAGAACTATAGTTTATAAATTATTTTTTTCATCTCACTATTTTTACGATTTACACTTATTATTTTTTTCTTCAACTTTTTAATATGAATAAGACATTTTTTTTGTATATTAGTCTACATGATAAAACATGAAAACACCAATATGTTAAATTATACTAAAACATTATGGATAAAATAGTTACATTGAATGTTTTATTAATATAACTTTTTATAAGACATCTCAGTTTTTCCTTTATTACTTAAAAATTGCTCATTTTTCTAATTTTTATAAAAAAAATTGTAAGTCAAAAGAGCTTAGAGAAAACAACTAAAATATGACTAAAACATAAAAAATGTAAACAAAAAGTTCTATGTCTTTATTCCAGAAATAGGAATTCAATGAAAATAAAATATCAATCATGAAAAAAACAATATGTTTGATTATGTGATATGTATGATATTTAAAACAAAATGTTTTAATATATAAATTATAATTACAAATATATTATTTATAATAAATACTGCATAAATAAATTGAGTTGGAATAAACTACACAGCCTTTTTAAAATTTAATATTTTTATATTTATGCTACCCTTATATTATAATTATTTTTTGTAAAAGTAGTTTTTTGTATTTAAAAAATAACAAGACTTTTTTTATATCTTAAAGACATTCACTAAGATAACGTGATGATCATGATGATTATGATGATGACGATGATGATGATAATGATGATGATGATGATGATCATAATAATAATAATAATAATAATAATAATAATAATAGTAATAATAATAATAATAATAATAATAATAATAATAATAATAATTTATAACAACAAGAATTTAAAATAAATATTTTTTAAATTTTTTTAGGTTTTCTAGTTTTTTCCAGTTTCTTCCAGTTCCTTTTAGTTTTTTTCAGTTTCTTCCACTTCCTTCCAGTTTCTTCCACTTCCTTCAAGTTTTTTCAAGTTCCTTCCAGTTTTTCAAGTTCCTTCCAGTTTTTTCCAGTTTCTTCCAGTTCCTTCCAGTTTTTTCCAGTTTCTTCCAACATCCAGCTCTTTTTTTACAGTTCTAAAGAACAGGCCCTAGATTGCTCCCACAAACAGGAATTATGACTATGATTGAATTCTCCAAAGAATTTTCGCCTTTATTTAAAGATTCAGAGATAAATTGTGCAATTCCCTAAGAGTTTAGGGGCATTTGGTATACTTTTTAATGGGTAAATTGTGGAATTTCTGAAGAATTCAAGAATATTTGATGCACTTTTAAATGTTCATGAGTAAATCATGTAATTTTCAAAGAATTCAAAGGTAAACGGTGCACTTTTCACAATAATAATCCGTATTTCAATAAATAAAGCAAGCCTTTTTTGGTAAGCCTTTTTTGGTAATTTGAGCAACTTACATCATACGAATCTGCGTGGCTTCTTCTATAAATTGTTGCGATTTCTTTCATACGGCTCTGCAACAGATCTCTGTGGACTAACCCTCTTGGAGATGCGTGCCCGCGGAGGCTCTTTCTCTCCTCGCCACCGTCCGCCGGCCGCCCAATCTCCGTCTAGGTCTTTTCTCTCTTCCACTCCCTTTCACACCCATATAATGAGAACAAAATGTGTCTACTTATAATGTGCTGTACTTAGATGCCGGTGGGTGGCTTCTCATGGGCCTGTTTCTATGATTTTCTTCCATTATTTTGTCGCAGGGGTGTCTCTCGATTTTGATGCGAAATCTCATCTTCAGTCTCTGAGCTGAGATTAGTGGTGGTGGGATTGGGATGATGGAGGGGGAGAACGGAGTTGAGAAGAAGCAGCGCGTCGACTCCGGCGAGAGTGGTAAGAAAGCGGCGGCGCTGTTCAGCGACGAGGAGGTGGGGGATATCAATGGTCTTACGGTCGGGGATGATTACGTGGAGGTGACGTGCGGGTGCACCAGCCACCGCTACGGCGATGCCGTCGGGAAACTTAGGGTTTTCTCCAGCGGCGAGCTTGGAATCGTCTGTGAATGCATCCCCGGTTGCCAAGAAGGTGCCTTCTTCGATTCTTTTGTCTTTCTTCAATCATTTTTTTTATCCATTGCTTTTGTTTTCATTCCTTCTTGAAATGGGTTTTTAAGCTGGAAATGTGTTTTTGCCCATGCCTTATGGGTATGTGATGCTTTCCTTAGATTTTATTTCTATTTCATCTTAGATACCCTTTGTTCATCAAATGTAGTTGTTCTTCTTGGCTTTCAAACAATCCATCTTGAAACCAGTCCTTGTACATGATGTGGACTCCTAAGTGTATGATAATATGCCTGAGAGAACATGAGGTAGTTAGCAGTGTTTGTAGTCTAGCTACATCATGTCGCCACACGTTAATTGTTTTTGTTTTCCTTTGGATGTTTGTTTAGATTGAACGAATATTGTGTTGGTGTTGGGTTAGACTTGAATTGTATTGAGCTGAAGCGCATTGTGCTGTTCAAAATGAGATTTTAGTGTGATTACTTGAAAGGTTTTCTTGGTAAAAGAATCTATCCAGCTTGGATGCAGAGTTTTATCTGAACGATCTCATGTGTGAATTTTTTTTAAATGGTTTTTTTGGATATGAAGTCACATTTTCTGTTCCAATATTAGATCTTTATTTTAATGTATTATAGAAGAGTGTTTGGTTTTGCAATTCATATTGATTGAGAGTAACCACTCATCTGAGAATGTTTCTTTGAATTTCTATATGAAGAAGCTGTTAGGTTTTTCTTTATTACTTGAGCACAGTTAATGAGTTAGTTTTCAGTTCATGGATGGATTGCATATGTGCAACAGGCAATGGCAAGTAGTTCCTGGTGACTCCTGAGGGACAATCCAAACATGCCCATGCACATGTATTCTAAACAAATGATTTGCCAGTTGCCACTGTGGATATTTAATTTATTCACAATCATTTTTCTGTACTTCTTTAGTCTCTTTAGTTTGCTGTTTATTCAAGTGTAATTCTACACCAGCTGGTATTCATTTTTTTTACATGCTTTTAAAGAAGCATCTGAATATTATTTCCTGGCTTACTAGTCTGGACATTGCATTTCAGTGTTCATTGATCTTTTGAATGGCAAAATAGGGAACTTTGCATGCCTATTTAACCCTTTTTTCTTTTGTTATTATCTCCATGATCTGTTTAGCTTTTAGCTCGAATCTTTCAGTTTTGTCTTTTTTTTTAATTTTTTGGGGTGTTCAACAGATAAGATGACTCCAGCTGCGTTTGAGAAGCATTCTGGAAGAGAAACTGCAAGGAAATGGAAGAACAATATTTGGGTCATTGTTAACGGTGAGAAGGTTCCTGTGGCAAAGACTGCACTGCTCAAGTATTATATTCAATCTTCAAAGCATGCAAACGGCTCAAATAAGTCAAACACTCCAAAAGTCTGCCATCGCGATGAATTCATCAGGTGCACTGTGTGTAAAAAACATCGCAGAATCCGCCTTCGTACACCCGAGGAATGCCGAAGTTTCCATGATGCTCTTGCTAATACTAACTGGAAATGCTCCGATATGCCTCACGACAAGTACGTTTCTTCCACTCAAGTCTCCTACCATTAATATTCACTATATTCATCACACCTTGTACTCTTATTTCTCTTTCTTTGAATGCCATTATAGGATTCATATACTTAGAGATTGTGTAACCCTTCAAGGTTCATTTGCTTGATTGGCATTGTGTGGTCATTTGTATGATGATATGAAAACTGAAGTTTTTTATTTTTTACATATCACGTTATAGTACATATTTAGCAAGCTTTCCAGGAAAAAAAAGAGTCATGCTTTCTTTATTAAAAAAATATGAAAGTTCATGTTTTTAGATATCATGTTGCAGTCTAAATGTAAAGGGTATCATCATCTCATTATAGCTTCCCAAAAAAGTGTCTTGCTTGAGAACTTGTGCTTGTCCCAAAAAGGTACTGTTTGAACAAAAGAAGAATCATACTTAATGTTGTTTCCAAATAAAATCTCCAAACAAGTCATAAGTATGTCTGTGTTATAAAAAATTGAATTTCCTTAAGTATAACTAGAAGTGCTGAAAATTATAAAACCTTGGTGAAACATATCATGTTACTTTTTTTTTCTTCTTCATATGATATCATATGTATGAGGAATAATAGTGAATATGGTTTGGTTGGTTCAGAGTGACATGCGAGGACGAGGAAGAAAGAGGAAGCAGGAGAGTGTACAGAGGATGTTTGCGCGCGCCGACATGCCGGGGGTGCACCTCATGCGTCTGTTTCGGATGCCAAGTCTGTCGCTTCCCAGACTGCCCTTGCCAGAGTTGCATTGATTTCACCACCAATGTCAAACCACCATCAACTACTACTTAACTCTTTTAGCCTCCTCAACATCTTTTCTTGTTTCTGTAGTAGGGACCAATTTCGATTCAAACATTCTATCCGTGACTTTCGTTTCTAATTCTCCGTTTATTAATTAAAGAGCATCCGTGACTTTTACTTCATTTACCAATGTTTATTGTAGCTATTAGGCCACGTGTCGGGTGTGACCTACCGCTGGTGACCCCGATGCGGCCTGACTGCCACAACACAGACGGCAGTGTGACCCTTGTAGACATGACAAAGTACACGAAAGAGGATAGAAAAAAGATAAATGTTTGGTTCACAAACAAAAAAAGTTACAAATCTCATAAATTTGTTATTTATGAGCTTCAATAAAAAAAATAAAGTAGTCTAAAATAATTTAAAATGAAAATTTTAAACTATAAATAGTAAGAAAATATTGTTGTGGAAGACACAAAGTTCTTAAGAGAAATGAAGTATTCCATGTGAAATAGAGTACTCCAAAACTTTTGAGAATGGAAAGTACTTCGTATAAACGATGGGAGTCAGAACAATGTGCTAAAATCCAAAACACAGCCTAAATGAGGAGAGATAGATTTGTAAATTTAAGTGTTTATAGTTTGTCTAGTGCTAGGATGATATTGTAGTTTCACAAATTACGACATGAAAAATGACGGGATTAGCTCGCATTGTTATTTTTCATCTCTGATTATATGGTCCCATTTAATTATAAAATAATACGGAGTAATGGAATTGAAACAATTAGTAATTGAAAAATAAAAGAAGTGGGAGAGTCCCTCTGAATTGGGACGGCGCCAAGTTTTGAAACTCATCCAATGATGTGGGACCTGGATTGAAGTCCCAAATGATATCATAAAAAAAGAGATACGGTAAAAATCTAGACTAGCATTGGACATGCTCTTAGACCATGTGTTATGCAGGCTTGACGGGGACTTGACAAGGTATATAGAGATATGACGTAGGCTGATAAAAATGTGTGATATGAGACTTGAAAGAAGGCTGTGACCAAAAAGTGATGGGATAAGAATGTAAATTATTTTGATTAGTTGAAACAAAAGAAAGGGAAATGCGCCTTCATGGTGGGATGGCTATCACCCACAAGGGGCCACGCCCCATCATGACAGGCGAGACAAGAGCTTGAAGAAGGGACACACCAATTGCGTCAAGTCCCGTAACGGACGACCTTAGAATAAAATAATTTGAGAACAACCATGAGAATGTATTATATACCAGTTTCATTGTCCGATTCATTTCATTGTTAGAATATCATTCAATGTGATTATGTGAAGTGCACCTTACTAAACCAACATATAACACTAGTCATTTACCTAGTCAACTCTACTCAGTACTCACAATTTCAACACTCCGTATGTCTAAAACTATATTATTCTCATTTTCTTTTTCTGTCCATCCAGCTTATTATTCTCATTTCGTTTTGAGCCTATTTTTTAAGAGTAATGTCAATAACATTCTTCTACTTTAACACACCAATCCATCCAAAAATAAAGGACATTCTTAGAAGTTTGACATTTTTTTCTATTCCTAGATTAGCGTGCCAAGTCACTTAATTAACAAGTTTGTCACGTATATAAAGATGTTGCAAGTACACACATCCAAGTTGAATTATTTGGATGGTTATAGTAGCTAATTTTCTTTTCTTGGAAGATTCAACTGGATTGTTGTTGTATATAAAAATTGAGTTTGTGGGGATATACTTGGAATACTATAAAATGTAAGGAGGATCGAAATGTTGTGTACCACTAGCTCTATTTTCTTTCCATAAGTAGTGTCCCATAACATTTGTTTAATTTTCTCACACACACGAGAGGATTAAGGTACTCCATAATCATCACTGACACATTTTTTTCATTTATAAATAAATAAAAATGTGACAATATATATAACTGTACACTACTCTCTATTCTAAAATGATTTGTCTCCTTACTGTTACGGTTGTTAATCACGCTCCTAATGTCCACAACCACATACATCCGCCGCCCGAACAAGTAATTTTACTACTCCGTAATACATATGTACTATCCTATACCGATCCAGTGGGTGCAATTGCACCCACTTGACCTAATGTGGCTCCGCGACGGGTCACATTCATTATTTTTTGAAAAGGAATGATAGGAAAAGGGATGGCGCACGGTTGTAAAAGAATGAAGGTTAATTTTTTTTAGAAGAGATGTCTTAGCTCTAATATCATGATTTAGTTTGATAATAATTAGTTTTATTAGATAATGAAAGTTTCTATCATTATGTATAAAGTTTCTTTGTATTCTTACATGATTTGGCATCACTTTAAAATGGAGAGATCATTTAAGTTCAAAAAAGTACTCCGTAGAATATAGTGAAAGAAGAGATAAATCCATTATTTTGAAGACACGTTGTTTACCATTGGTGGAGCTACAAATTTAACAATAGTTAGCCTTTGTTTGGATGAGATAAGAATTCAATGAAAAAGATAACGATGAAAAAAGAGCGAATAGAAAAAATGGGAGGAAAATAATTGTTGTTTAGATGATTAGAAAATGGTGAGAAAACAGAAAAGATTGTTGCTTGGATTATTAGAAGGACAATTTTGTCCTTTCTTACCTTTTCTCTTAATCTCACATTTTTCTCACAGTGGGAGTTGAGAAACTTTTTCTTTTTTTTCTCCTCTCTCCATTTTTTCTTGCAGCCAAACAAAAAAAATACCTTCGTATTTTATCCCTCTTCTTTTTCTCTCCCTCCATTTTCTTACTATCCACACAACCTCTCAAAGAATGATTTATTTTCTCGATCATTTTTAAACAGGCCAATGCTCGTTGATTTTCGGCTTTGATTGTTCGAAACAAGTTGTCAGGCCGGGAGGCTCAATAGCGGCTTGCAAGCTTGGGCGGGTGTTAGAGGCTTGATCAATACACAACCCAAGTTTGACCAACTCAATTTTCTAACGATTAATACTCTTAAGTTTGGCTTCTGCAGAGATTAGCAATGACATTTTGAAAAGGCGGTAGCCTTTAGTGTAAGCGTTTTCAGAATTAATCTACATCATTTAGATTTTATCCAAACACTAAACGAAAAAACTACTTCTAAACAAGGCCAAAATATCACAAATTTAATTTAAATATAAAGTAACAAAAAGAACTTTAAATTAGCTTTCATTGATGACAGTACTCAAACCATGCTTTTCAGGAGCTTTTTATTTGTAATTTTCAATAATTTATTTACTAAATATCAAGCTCCCCTAAAAAAACGTGAAGTTCACAAGTAACTCCGAATGTTCTAAAAATAGAAAGCGAACAATAAAATCAACAAGGATGATGTAATTGAATTTTTTTTTTTACTAAGAAAACAATTAGCCTTATGTGGGAACAATATTTTCAATTTCTTTTATTAACAACAAAAACCCAATAGACGAGGGTGTGTATATGCCGACCTTACCTCTACTACACACACCCTCCCCTTGGGTTATTTTTGCTAATGCTCATTTAAAATACTGTTCCCAAATAAGACCTATGAGTATGCTAATTTATTATAAAAAAAAAATACTAAAACAAAACGCTTTTCAAAGAAAAAAAAAAGATTAGAATTAAACATGGAAATTATGTGCAAACGGACAGTGAAGTTATTTTAGGTGGGACATCAAAAAATGGGGCAGTGTGGGTAGTGATGGTACATGGCCAATGGCGTCGCATGCAATGGCAACGCAGCGTGGCAAGAAAGAAGGGAGACAAGAACGGGGTTGGCCTGGTGTTAATTGGCAGTTCAAAAGCGTATTTGTGATGACACCAAACACGCACATCTCCTGTCTCCGTCTCTCCTCTCCTCTCTATATATATATAGATATATACGTGCACATATAGAGAGAGAGAGACGGAGGAGAGAGAGAGAGAGAGAGAGAGATGGCGGCGAAGGGTGGCGGCGGAGGAGGAGGAGGGGGAGGGAGCAGGGCGGGAAGATCGTACGCGATGGTGTTGATGGTGGCATTTGGGGCAGCCATTGTTGGGGTTATGATCCTTCACAAGTTCAGAGAGAGGCGCATCTTCAACCTTGTCCTTCGTGACAAAGACACTCAGCTCCTCTCCCTTCACCTCCTTTTGCAGGTCTGTACCCCCCCCCCCGGTGCTTGCATGTGTTGTAAACCTAAATAAACATCTGTAACCTGGTTTGGGTTTTAATGGAGTGTTTGGGTAGTAGTGTTTGGTTGGGGAATATGATTTGACTGTATCTGTAACCTGGTTTTTAATGGAGATTTGGGAAATTATTTCATGAGAAAGAAAACAGTTTTTTTCCAAACCGGACACTAGCAATAGTATTTGTGTGTTTTGATGATGAATGTTGACTGATGATGTGTGACAAATTTGGTGCGAGTTGCAGAAGGAGAAAGAGAATGCAAAAGATGCTAAAAGGCAAATGGACGATCTGAAAGGGAAAATGCACAAGCTTCGGGGTAAGAAGGCGGACCTTGAAGCCAGAATCATGGAGATGGAGTCCACCATTTCTTCCCTCAGAGAAGAGCAGAAGACGATCTCGTCTTCACTGGAGGAGAAGAAGAAGGAGATCAAGGTGCTCATGGATTACAAGCGAGGGCAGAACCGAGAAACTGCCCGGCTCATGGCCCTGTCCCAGGAGCTCCAGAAGAAGGCTGCAGAGATTGAAGAGCTGAGGCAGCGCGTCGACTTGCCTCCGCCGGCAGTCAAGGTCTGGTCGGTCAGCTCTGACGACCCGTCAAGCCTGCCGGCCAATTTCACCACCAAAGCCGCCGGAGAAGAAGAAGAGGTCAGGAATGGAAAGGGCCGCGGCAAAAGTGCAGAAATTTCATCACAGGTGCACAGTCAGAATGAGACTGCTGAGTCGCAACAGGTTTCTGAAAATGGGGGCGCCACTTTGGTAGGCGGAGGCGATCAGTCAAGAAACGGGGTTGAGTATGAAAGCATGGGAAGAAGAGTTAGGAGGATGGGGAGGAGGAGGAGGATAAATGATGGTTACAAAGCTGCTGCTTCTGCTGCTTCTTCTTCTGATACTGCTCTGAAATCTGAAAATGGAGTTGAAAGTGTGAGAAATGGAGAATCACTGCCAGAAAGTGAACGAAAACGGGGGAGCAATGAACTTGGTCTTGACGAACCAAACTGGGAAATGTATGGAAGAGAAATGGATGGTAGAAGCAATGTGCAGAAGAAGTTACCTGCCAATTCAAGAGCTGTTGATGACAGCAAACTACTGAACAAACCTGAAAATTAGAAGCCAGAAGAGAGAAACAAGATCACAAGGGAAAACAAAGGTCACAGGCGAGCGCGAAACTTCAAGCATTACTATTATTACTGAAAAGAAGGTAGAAGAAGAAGATGGTTAGGGAACATTAAAGGAAGCAGAAACCTCTAGCCAGTCAGCCTTGGGTGCAGATGACATCTTTATGTCACTACCCCAAATAATAAATGCTTTGACTCATGTTATTGTTAGAGAATTTCTTTGTTTCTTCTTTCTTTTTTTATATTACCGAGTACGGAGTATCATTTGGTCTTGTGTGAAATTATCATTGAGTCTTTTATATGCAAGGGATTGCAAATTGAGCTCAGAACAGCAAGTCAACTAAACCAACAATGATGCCGTCAAAAACAAACATGTGCAATAGTTTAGGAGATTTATCCAGGCATAAGCACATCTAAAAGAGGAAAGACCAAAACATTGATTGGTATCTGAAAGAACTGCATTATTGTTATTGCTTGTAATATCGGCATCATCTCTAATGCATCACAAGATTCCAGCTTTACTGAGACGCTTGCACCACTGTCTGTAAAATGAAAAAAAAAGTCCAGTTAAAGATAGTTAAAGCGACATCATTCTGCAAGATAAGCACCGATAGAAGTTTTTAATCTTCCAGATCCTCTGAAATGCACTCATGCACTGAAATCTCTTCCTCACCCTTATATTAAGAGACCAATAAGGCCGTAAACATGGGCCCACCAAGTCAATTACCCAGTCTAGATAGCCTCCTATATTTGCGGGCTGACCGCAATATCATCTATGCTAGCATAGTAGGTTTGTGAGAGTGGTCAAAATTGTTTGTCAGAATTTGATTACCTCACGAGCCTTCACATTTCCCCAACTATAAACTTTAACCTGGGTATAGAAGATAACTGCTAAGATGGAGTAAAAGAACTTTTTTATCTTGAAAGTTCAGATCAGGTCAAATTTTTTAAGATAAAGAAAACATGTACTGAGTCTAACTATACCACAATGTCAATACCAGATGCTCAGCTCTTCATCACACGTTCATCAAGTATACTAATAACTCGTTTTCCATAGTATCTACTATCTAGTAAAAAACTACTTGTATTTTGTTTCAAGCTTAAAATAAAAATAATATAATACACACACACACACACAAACACAAGCTAGTATTTGGTGCCAAGTTGATAGAGAGTAAAGAGCCACTAGAAAAGAAAGTGATCTCATTAAATGGAAAGAAAGTTTTAAAAAAGGCAGCAAACTAGCTTCAGAGAGGCTCTCCAAGAGTCTTGAAGGCATTATCAAGCAAGATGTTCTTGCAACAGCAATACCAAACTAGGACAAAAGCATGCTTTGTATACAAAATAAGACATTCCATGAATTTATACCAAAATAGAACTTATTATGTCAAATAATGCCAAAAAACCTTGTGGAATGCCAACACAAATGCCAAATTGTGGGAGTTTCACAATCTCAACACTCCTATTTAGGCAATAAAATATCGGTCTTATTTTGGTGGAAGTAAAATGTTTTAATCTTATTTAAGTAGATTTCTTATGATAATTGTCTTAAAGATTTTGCCAGCCTCTTTTTACCAATAGAGGGTATATTTCTAGCCTAATGCATCTTATTGTTAAACTAAAATAAATTGCATGGCAATCAAGATGCTAATCAATTACCCTTCACTTGACCCTACTCAAAAGTCCACCTTTCTTGCTAACGTGTTCCCTGAAAAGGCTAAAATCTAATCAAAGATCCACATTTTCATGCTACGTTTCTAATTAGTTTCCAGCTTCCTTGTTTTTATCCCAAAGTGGTTGCTATCACTCTCACACACTAGAAAACAGCTTTGTGAACAAGGATGGAGGAAGAAGGTTAGTCATAGTCCAAGAGATCAAATTGTAATCTCTTACCCCTATCATAAATCTTGATTGTTTTCCAATCTTGGGCCATTTAAGCCTCAACTAATGTTCCATCTCCTGATCCCCAGGTTTTGGGCTATCACTTTTACTACTTGAACCAGACCAGACGTATTTTCCCTTGCCAGAAATGTGAGACTTTCTTTCAAATTCTTCTTAGTCATCTTCCTTCAATGCTCTTATATTTTGTTAAGACACTTCCTTCTATCATATTCTATGTATTTTCCTATATCTGTTTGATAACAGTATAACACAGTGAATGGTGAAATGGATACAGGTAGCGTGAGGGTTGATGGTGACATTAGAGACAAGGCACAGCTTGTCTTGGAGTTGAGATATTTATGAGGTTCCAAGTTGTATAAGAAGTATTTGGCTTTGCCAATCAATCCAAGTTCTTTTTGTTAGGCTTGTTGTAGGTTCTCACATATTGGGTTCCATTATTGAGTTTCTGTTGTGCTGTGCCCATTAGGTGAGTAATGGCAAGTTGCTAAGTTAGATGTTCTAATACCTTTTTTGTTGAGTTTGTCCTGGAGCTCCTTTTTAAAATGGTCAAGAAGACAAGATAAAGGGTTGTTGGTATTGGAGCCTATCTGCTTCTCAACCTTTGCAACCAACTCATAGGAGTACTCGCATTGAAAATCTAGAGGTTCATTAGTGCAGGGGAGGGGGGTGGCGAACTGAAAGTCTTCTCGTGGACACCAACAACAACCCAATATAATCCAAACTCTTTTGCGGTTTTAGAGTTGAAGATGAGCGCAGCCCNTTTATGTCCATTACTAGCCAAAACTTCATTGAAAGTAAAAAAAACGAAGAGTGTTTAATGTGTCACCTTGATTTAGTCCATTATTTACCTCAAGCTAAAACATTGTCAAATGCTATTCTTTTAGCTCCATTGGCAATCAACATAAGAGTGTTCTATTTGCAAAGTTTTAAATACATTTTTCTGTATTATTTAGCATATCTTTAAGCTTTGTCAAAGCTTCTCCTAGGCAATTAAATATCTTAGCCCTTGGCTGTGTTTTTCTAATTTTCTAACTTCTTCCCCCTCACTTCTTCAAATGTAGCAGTGATAGGTTGGGCATTTTGGTAGAGAGTAAAGAGACAACAGAACATACAAAATTAAAAATAAAAAAAAAAGACAGCAAAATAGCTTCAGAAGTCCCAGAACTCTAACTTTTTACTCCAAGAGAGCTGCTAATTATCCTAAAATTGTTGCTCGTCTCTCTTCTCTAAAAGAATATTTATTTAGGGTGTGTTTGTTTTGGGGGGAGGGGTCACAAACCTTTGGTAGTGAAAAGAAAATTATATGATGCAAAAGTTTTCATCACAGGAAAGGAAGAAATGTACCTCTTCCTTATTCTTCTTTCCACCAGTGAAGAACTTGTATCCACCGTAGAATGCTGAAGCCCATCCAGCCAAAGAGATAAGTACAAACTACAAAGAAAACAACCAATCAAACATGTGTATTCTATATTTCTCATGATGTACCAAAGACTTATAACTGATACAACTTACGTTTTATCTATAGATGTAGAACATGGATTTTAACTATAAAAAAAGTGGTTTGTTGTAGTTAAAACATTGCAAATAGGAAACCATTTTGTACAACACTAGTAAGTCATATACGCGTTGAAGAAAGATTAAAAGAAACATGAACTCAACACCAAAAATCACCCAAATTGGCATCTAACTCTTTTAGAAAGGCCACTTTCAATCATTATGCCATTGGAAAAAATTCAAAAACTGACGACTTGGTCCAGCCGTCCAGGTAACAGAACACAAAACTTCCAACCCCTTTCAAGCCATTGGGCCTTGGTTTATGAGAAATGAACCAATGATAGAAGGAAAAACACGTCTGCCTTCCTGAAATCTAATTCAGAAACAATGCTGACATTTCAACATAAGGTGAGGTGAAATGGCATGATTTTAAAAGCATACCTCCACTAAAATGCATAGAAATAACTGAGGAATATGTTTTATACTCCGTACAATATACCAAAAAGTACTGTGTATAGACTGATAAAAGTATGCATTTATTAGGACAAAACAACTGAAGTATGAGCTCAAAATCATATAATCGTCCATCTAGTGATTGTACCAGTGGACTACTTTGCATCTAATTGTTTCCTATGGCATGGGTTAGAATAAAAAAAGATTCTGACTATCGCCATGCCTAAGAAGAACAAAAAAATACTCACATGCTCTTCCTTCCATTTAGAAGGGCTCATCGGATCTTCCCAAAAATTCACCTTTGGTGGTCCATGATGATCTGGAGTTACCCAAAAAGAGTTAATTATTTGCAAAGCGTATAGGCTCGAGATTTAATTCATCCAGACAGCATTCAAATGCGCAGAAATGGCACAACCGATAATTAGATCAGAAAGAAATGTAAATCGAGGGAGAAGAGTACCAGCAGCCCCTGCAAGGCCGCGGCGGGTGACCAAGGACGCAGATTGAGCCGCTGATATGGATGCAGGGAGTCGATTGAAGGTCGCTGCTCGACGCGCCGCCATCAATGCCAGCGAGGTTGCCATGGCGTTGCGATTGCACTCTGTGTTTCTGGGTGATGGATGGCAAACGGCGTGGAGATGGAAATGGGCAGATAATTGACAGGGTTACTCCTTTGTGTGGATTCTTTTTATTCGTCTTATTAAGTTGTTTAACTCTACTAGTACCCGTGCGATCCACGGGCGGTAAAATAACATATATTTAATCTTGATTTGGAATAAAATAAAATGAAAAAAATAAAAAGATTACAAATTTTATTTTTATTGCCCAAAAAAAGGTATTGTACATCATGAATTATTGTCGAAAAGCAGTGTTATACATTTTAGAACACTTCTTTATTTATAAACTACATTTGTATAAACTAATTCATCTTTACAATAAATTAAGGAAATAATGAATTTTCTATAATTACAATTTCCAAAATAAGTGAAATGCATGTCAGGAAAAATATCATAGGGAAAAACAATTAATGTGGTTTTAATTTGTTTTATTTGAATAACACCAACTTTAAGTGAACTATACCTTGTAACAAATTCATGTATTTGATTAAAAAGTTATGGGTGCAAATGGATATTAATCGGATTGGATGTGCCATTACCAAATCCGTATCCGTTTATTTTTGTCGGATATCGAATTCGGCTACGGATCTTGACAGATACTAAAATTTAAAACCGTATCCGCATGTTAGATATTGGTCGGATATTGGAAATAATACACATGAAAATCGGATAAACGGTTATTTAAACGGATGCATATTCGGATTAGAGTTTAAATGGATCGAATATTTTATATGAAAAAAGATGTAGAATTAAAATATAAAAATTACATATTCTAAAATTATATCAAAAGATAAACAAAAGTAATGTGGACATGACTATATTGAATGAAATTGCAAAAACAAATAAAAAAGAAAGTTTTTGAAGTTTGACTGTGAGAATAGTACACATGCAATTTAATTTTAGTTTGAGGGCTAAATTATGTTCATATAATTCATCCATCCAATTTAATTTTTAAGATATATTTTTTATTTAATAAATATACAAAATATATTTTCATTTAATCATTAGTAAAATGTTAAAAATAGTTTACCGAAAAATCAAATCGGGACAAAAACTCATGAAGGGACACGGTAATAGTCCTCAGGCATTAGCCCACTTATTCTCCCAGCCCAACTTAATATACCGGCCCAAACTACTTTCCCGGCCCAATATCCATTAATATAAAACCAATCTTCCTAACCCTACCCTTCACTTCCGCTCTTCCGCCGCTACGATCCCCTTTCTCCTCCTTCGTCTTCGTCTTCGTCTCTTTGTCGCCATCTCTCCATCCGTAACTATGTCTCTCCCTCTCTCTCCAATATTTTATTTTCTGATTATTAAACTATTTGATTTCTATGTGCGCCGATTCTTTTGGTTGATTCTACTTTTATTTTTTGAAATTGTTATTTTAGATGATCTTGGGTCCGTTTTGATTTAATGTTTTTTCTTTAAGATGTGTTACAACGCATCTTTAGATAATCCGATTTATATATATAATATTCGGATATATATATATATATGTATATATATATATGTATATATATATGTGTGTGTGTGTAACTAGCATATTCACGCGCGTTGCGCGGATTGTAGTGCCCGATTAAGGTTTACTTAAAAATAATTCCAAAAATGTTGGGAATACCAGTTAAAGTTGATCGACATGGTTGATATTTTCCAAATTCTTAATATATAAGGTAATCTCATGAATGACATGATTTTTGCATGTATGGATTTTGATATCAGAGTTCATACATATCTGATGTCCATGTTAGCACGATGAGTCTTTTTGTTTGAATTCTATACCCATGTATATTAAAAAGACATTGTATAAACTTAGAGTATTATAGTGAATAATGGGAGTATAGTGTAGTCTCATATTTTACATCTTTTTCTAATTCCAACAATGAAATAGTGTGTATTCAGTTGTTTGGTAGAATATTAAAAGCTTTGAAATAATCTTTGATGAACCATGAGCATAATGTTTGAAGACCAAAAATGGAGTTTTAAAATGGATACTACCAAGTATGACTTTTTAGTACAAAAAATGCAATGTTTAATAGTATAATGCGTTTTTTAAGACAAGAATTTATACAATGAAGAACAAAATTACATGTGAATTATTATTTTTTTAGTCTATATTTTTTAACTCTACTCATTGTAAATAATGTCTCTAATAATGAAGTTCTGAAATTTACTTTGCTTTGTCGTCATAAATCAATTTAAATTTTTATGCAATAGAATTACTTATAGAAAAAGCATGATTAGTTATTATTTGTTTATCATATGACATTCAAAGAGCACTCATTTATTCACTATTTTCTATATGTATGTATGTATGTATGCGTATATATTTTCAAAAATATATTCGAATTTGAAAAACATAAGTCTATATAAATTGTACTTATCGAGATGTTTTTAATCTTAATACACAAATACATATATTTGTAAATTAACACATTCTTTATTAAAACATCATGTAATAATTATGATGAACCTTTTACCCTGTGTGTATTTAATTATAGAATTACTTCTTAATCACCAAACTTGTTAATCCTATTTTTATTTTTTAAAGTAGTATTTGCAAAGTTACTGTAAGAACTTTTTAAATTATGGCCTATTGATATAAATCTTAATATATAAAAATGATATCTCTGAACATGCCTCAAATCTTATTTTATGTACTGTTAGATGAACATGTAATTCTCTATGTTTTATTTCAAATTTTTCAGTAAGATGTGTTACAATGCATATTTAGATCATCAGATTTATATATATATATATATATATATATATATATATATATATATATATATATATATATATATATATATATATATATATATATATATATATATATATATATATATATATATATATATATATATATATATATATATATAGACACACACACACATACATACATACATATATATATATATATATATATATATATAAATTTTTTTTATTAATATTATTGCAACAGTCGATTACAAGCAAGGGGCCCGAGGCCTGTTAACCTCGTGCCTGCCCCGGGGCCCGTTAAACACCCAAGGCAGATAGCCCACTATAAATATCCCAATCTAAAACCCAACCCCATAAATCTGCAAACACTTGTTGTTCCAGAGAATTAATATACATATACTTATTTTATATATTATATTATATATATAATTATTACTCCGTATTATCGTAATACAGGTCCCAACATCGGAGTGTGTGTCTAAATATAGGGCTGTGATGATATGGAAGGACTGAAATCTGTTACGGTGAATTTTTAGAATTTTAATGTTTGAGGCATAAAAAAACGAACGTATCTTGGTGTGGCGTAACAAAATTAACCTCCGTTGTTGCAGCCATGGCGATTTTGTTTCTTGTATTGCTTTAAACTTAAAACCGGATTAAAAAATCTGAGCCTCTATTGTAATTATATATAGGGAGCGTCTAAAATGACACCTGTTACTTATACACCAGTTGCTTACACCAGTTCGTTTGGGGTACCTACGGTGCTCCGTTTATAAAAACGACGGTTCCTACCCCCCCTAACCCTCCCCCTAAACCCCCCACACCCCAGCCCCACCCCAGCCCCCCCTTCCCGCCCCCTCCCTACCGTGGCAGTACACTACCAGGCAGTGTACTGCCAGGGTAGGGAGGGGGGCGGGAGGGGGGGCTGGGGTGGGGAGGGCAAGGGTGGGGTTGGGGTGGGGGGTTTAGGGGGAGGGTTAGGGGGGTAGGAACCGTCGCTTTTACAAACGGAGCACCGTAGGTACCCCAAACGAACTGGTGTAAGCAAATGACACCAGTAGGACTGGTGTCATTTTAGACTTGGCTACCATATATATATATATATATATATATATATATATATATATATATATATATATATATATATATATATATATATATATATATATATAAGTTGGTTCAAATGAGAATAGAATCTAATGAAAGAAGTAGGAATAAATATAGGCCGTCGGATCCTATCTCCAGATCTAAGATCTCCACTTCCGCTGAGGGGCATAAAAGTATTTCCAGATCTCCTTCCTTCTACAACCTCTATGTTTCAACTCCCGGACATCTCGCCACTTACCCTGTTTTTTCTCGCCTAATTTACCTTCCATTCCATCTTCCAGATTTCCGTTTCCTTTTAGGTATGGATTCCATTAATATTAATTCCTATATTGTATCCTACGGAAGGAAGGGCTTTCAGAATCCCTCGATCAGTACAGCATTGAATCTTCACTGCAATGACAGAGCCCTCAGCCATGGACGCAGGTATCAGCCCGACCAATTCAATTTTCTGGATTTTGGAAAATAAATTTGTAGGAAAATAATTATTTGGAACATATTTTCCTGGTTCTGCACTTGTACTATATGAAATGTTTGTGCATTCTTCACTTTTGTTGGTGAAATTTTTATTTGTTGGTGAAATTTGTTGGTGAAATTTTTATTTTTTATGCATAGGGGGTTATACAAATACATTAGTGGAAGAAAATGCCGAAGAAATATCATTTTTTGATCCAAATATATGCATCCCAGAATGCCCAGCAGATTCTAAGCCCAAAGTGGGAATGATTTTTGAGAAGCTTGAAGATGGGATTTCGTTCTACAAGAACTACGCGCTTTTGGCAGGTTTTGACATTCGGTTGGGTACGTCTACAAAGTCTCCGGATGGTGTAAATGTATGGAAGTATATTTTATGCAGTCGTGAAGGTCATAAACACGCTGCTCAGCTCTCCAGCAATGCTCCCAGTATGTC